GAATATAAGTGTTTCTATTTAGTAAGTTTTACTTTGCATATTTTCTACAAAATATAACACCAGAGACGTGAAAATATTATTAAAAAAATTATTAGTCGTCAAGCTTTAATTTCCAGTCTCTCCATCCTGTTTAGAATAGCGCTCCGGGTAACTTAAAGTGGACCAAAAGGAATGTCACTCTGCCGGAACAGTTTTTCACTTTTAATTAATCTAATATCTCCATTATTCGAACGGAGCGGCTAGGCCGACATATCACAACTGAATCTTAATTTCACGTGGTGCCGGTTAATTTATAGTTGTTAATTAAATTTTTGCAATCGTTAATAATTTTTCATTTGTTTAAATTTAAAGGCTGTTATGTTGGTCGTTTTTTTTATTTCGAATACAAAGTGACAAAAGAGTTAATACTATATATTCGCTCGACACGTATTGTAAAACGATCTTAATAAATCTAACCAAGATAGGTCAATAAAACTTTATTCCGCATTGTTGTGAAATAAATGTATTTAAAAACGATTTCCCGCAACCAGAACATTTAAGTGACGTAGTCGGTAGGTGCAGCAACGGTGGACAATTAACCGCTCCGCTCGTGTCAAATAAACTCGTGAGTCAAATGCCGTTTACCGCACTTTGCATTATTATGCAGTCATGTAGTGCATCAACTCCGATCGCAGCTTGGGTCAAAATTTCATGTCTACATTTACTTAATTTTTATGTACATCATTTGCTGTTTAGCGAAAGATGAAAAATGAAGTTTAAGTGCAGCTGTGAGTGGCGCTTCAAAACTGCGTCATGTTAGTTGAAAAACAATTTTTAACATCAAGAAGAAGTGTAACGGAATAACGGAGAATTTAAAAATGCAACTCCAAGAAAAAAAATCAACAAGTCAGTCAAATTCTCGCTATTATTATACATATGATGAAGGTTTTGAGAGTTTACTCGTACAAATTGCTTATAACGATTTCTTTTTCAAAAATATTCCGCCAACTTTAATTGCAGTTTATTAAGTTTTTCTTTAAGTACCTTAGGTTGTTGTGAATATGTGAAGCGTGGTCGCAAAAGTATAATGTTAAAGCGAACAGACATATTATATTTAAGGTCGATTACGAAACAAAACTCTAATATCATTTATTTAAATGAAAGTCGAGCCAATGCGGATCATTATTATGCTTGGTGTGCATAACGCTTACCATTCTAGTAAATTTAGGTATCCAGTGGCCTCATAGAAAAAGTCGAAATTCAATATTGATTGCTAAAAAAAATATTTCCTTTTCGACTTCTACTTGCAATCAGAGATGCCCCATACAGAGTATGACATATGTAAAATTAAAGAAATCGCTCTGATATACGAGATAGATAATTTATTTTTACTGCCGCATCACTGTGAGCTTAACTCTAACCTCCGATTTCAATACAGAACAGGTTCGTCCGTTAATAGATTAAGCGTTTCAACATGTTACTGAGCAAAATTGTGTTCGACTTATTATTGGCGTAAATTCTGGCTACAGTTCTGAGAACGACATTGCCAACTTTTTATTCTTGATCGAGATCGGAAATGACAATTTCTTGGTCAGAACCGTAGCCATAATTTACGCCAATAATAAGTTGAACACAATTTTGGTTAGTAACATGTTGAAATGCTTCTTTATTGAAATCGGAGGTTAGGGTTAAGGTCACGGTGGTGCGACAGTAAACAGAAAACATCTATCCCGTACATCACAGCTATTTCTTCAATTTTATATTTGTCATAATCATTTCTGTATGCGGCGCCTCTAATTTCAAGTAGGAGTCGTCGAAGAAAATGTTTTTTTAGCAATGAATCTTGATTTTCGACTTTTTCTATGAGGTCACTGGATACCTAAATTTACTAGAATGGTAAATTGGGAATTAGCGACTCCTCAAGCGATTGCTTGAAATATTCGCCGTTTTGTCATGAGAAAACTCGGTTGGCGCCTGGTAGAAATCCTTTTGCATATCTTGCATGGAGCACGTGGACGAAACGTGGAACTCTTTTTTTTAGGTGCTTTAAGATCTGTTGTTAAACCCTTTTAAAAAGCGATTCTGCGATCTGTTATGATATTGTCACATTAAGCATAATTATTAATCGTATGACCCGCATTGGCTCAACTTTGATCTAAATAAATGATATTATAGTTTTGTTTCTTCTTCTTGTTCAAGTGCCGTGTCCTCCCAGAACATTGGCCATCAGTCGCATAATCTTCACTTTCACTTCACACCACTGACGAAGATTTTGACGACGTTCTTCGGCGACCAGAACCTCGTTCCGCCTCTATTTTTCCTTGCATAATTATATGGAACAATTCTTTTTTTTTATTTCTCATTACGTGGGCAAAATACTCCAGCTTTCTTCTTTTAATGGTATTCAATACCTCTCTTTCTTTGTTCACATATTGCAGAACCGCTTCATTTGTCTTTTGATCGACCTTAAATACCTGTGTCGCCAATTAATAATTCGCTTTAATATTATACTTTTGCGACCACGTTTCACATATTCACAACCTATATCTTTCATTAATCTACCTAAGATGCTTAAAGAAATACTTGAAACATCCTTATCCCCTCGAACAATTTTACAAATTCCAATTAAAGTTGGCGGAATGTTTTTGAAAAAACGAAACCGTTATAAACAATTGGTCTTAAAACCTTCATCATATGTATAATAGCGAGAATTTGACTGACTTGTTCGCTTCTTTCCTGGAATAGCATTTTTAAATTCGGGATTGTTCTGTTGATGTTAAAAATTGTTGTTCCACTAACATGACTCAGTTTTGAAGCGCCACTCACAGCTGCACTTAAACTCAATTTTTCATTCCCTAAACAGCAGAATTACTGAAATTCCATTAATACCTCATGAAGCTCCAATATAACTGCCCCTGAACACTGACATTCAGAATTTTATTACCTATTATTAATTATTAGTATTTTAGTAATTTAGATCTTTTAAATCAAAACGAACAACTTCTCCATATAAACTACTACAAAAAATTGCGCTGAATACATTCATAGGTGGTTGCACCGAAACGCTTAAAAACATCACTTTAAAACAACCACAACAAACATCAAATCGAAGAACCATTAAGAAACCAGAAAGCTGCAAAATAGAAATAAAGAAAGAAGAATTTTTCAACAAAGCGAAAGTTCAGTCAGGGAAACCCCTCGTTTTAACGAAATAAATGCATTGAAAGTTTTGCCCACTCCTAACCTCTCAAAAATCAATTTCGACCAAATGTACCAATTAAGGGACATAGCAGAAAGGATAACTCGCATGGAACCAGTAAAAGAAGAAAAGAATACATTCCAAATGATTGTCTTTTTATTTTTAAATAATCATTGTTTTCATTTTGAGTTTCTATTCTAAGGAAAATGCGTTTCTCGGTAAGAAAAGGAAATATGAAGGATATTGCCTCTGAACCCGAGGAAAACGGCCAAGAAGAAGATTTTGAAGTTTCTGAACGTTCTGTTTCAAAAGTTAAGAAGGGTGGGGTTAGACCAGCATACCGAGATAAGAGAAAATAATGCTTCGCACTTGTAATATTACATATTCGCTCTACATGCATTGTAAAATGCTCTTAATTATACCAGCCTTTGTATAAGCTAACATTTGAGTAGAAATAATAACTTCGCGTGTTCAAAAAACAATGCAAAAAGTCAGTGGCCCACATATTTTAACTACTTTTTTAAATTTCACTCGAAAATAACTACCACGTATCAAGAAATCGGCTCCTAAAGCACACAGCCTTACTGTTTTAATGCTGTTTCTTCAAGTTTTTTCATAACAATTTGGCAAGTATGTTAAAAATGGCCAATGCAAAATCATCAATTCATATATTCATTAACTTTTGTCTATGGCAAATAACCCTCTAACAAGGCGAATAATGTTTTTCACATCTTTTAAAAAATTAAACCAGCGGATACGCAAAACTCGTAGCAAGTCCCGATGACCGCTCTTTTCCTAGGGGCAACAAAAGGCAGAATGGCCCCGTTTACATATTTATATGCACTCAAACTTATTCTCTCTAAGCCCATTCGTAGCATTACAAAACAAGCCAAAAACTCGAAAAGACATAAATATGGGCAATATCGTGAATAATACATCCGGATCCCGGATCTTTGACGTCGACCTGGAAGAGCGTATAAGTGACCGTCTTGCTTTTTTCGTTTTTGTTTATACGCGATGGCGACGGCAACCGGGGCGTCGGGAGGGGGAAGTGAAAAACACTGTCCATTATCTTAATGCACTGTTCTAGTCCCTCTCGGAGCTGATTAATATTGTATTTTCTTAGTGTTTGGGTAGCAGGAGCGACAGAGACGATTCCCGGGTCCATCTCGCCTTTTGGGACTGTCCCGGGAAAACTATCCGACACCGATGGTGCCAACATGTGCAGAATGTCGCAATACGTCGCCGAGTTTTTATTAATTGTAGTTGCTTTCCTCGACTAAACGAACAATAAGAAAGATTACGTTTACTTGGACGATTCCAAAACCAAAAAAAGCTCTGGATTCGATTTCAAAAACACTGGTAAAACTTTATGCATCTGAATACTGTGTAAACGATGTTTCATACCTCTAGTCTCTGGTCTGACTTCGAGTGAGTCTGTGAGTCCAATTTTGTTCTGTTGGTAGACAACAAAACTTGCGACAGAAATAGAGACCAGTAGAACAAATCGGCGTCACATTGCGGGAAATTTAAGCCGATTACAATGAAAATTTGACAACATCGGCGCGCTTGCCCTTTCTTCAAAATTTCAGTCGACCTACGTGCTGTTTACCACCGATGTCAACCGTATCACTTTGGCAACTTTAAATTTTAAAATCTATCTACAAATTGCCTGCTTCGGGATATTAAAGTAAACTCGATTCATTATTCAGGGCCGACTTGATGTATTTTACGAGCAGCGTAACGAGTAAACTTCCTAGGCTCTTTTTCTTTGGCGCTTTATGTATTTGGTGTTCTTATCGAAATCAAAGCGCGACGGATAAGAAAACATTGTTTTTTATTTGACATTTTATTTTCGAACTATTTCAAGGACGCCCGATCTGGCATAACATATTCTATAAGTCTCACCGCCCTCCACGATCCAAATGGTTCCGGTACCGGCAGCCTTGATAACATTTACTATGCACTGAGCGCACTGCTGTGGTCTAAAATATTAATCGCTGCGATTTATGTGGTCTTAAATTGCAAGCTTATTTAATGGATTTGGGTCTACGTAATATACAGGGTGTCTCATAGGGCACTTGGTCAATCTGTTATCGGAAAACTATAAGTAACAAAATGGTGAAAATTTGGAATCGAACTAATGTTGGTGGAGGCAATCCCGCTAAAATAGTCTAGAGAGAGGATATAACACAATATTATAATTTTTTTGGATTCTTCGGACAATTCTAGACATAATTCATGTAGAATATTCTATACTTAAATTTCAGAATTTCTGAGATATTTAACATTCTGTGTATGTACACCGTGTGCCAAATAAAACGATCCACTGTACGATCTGGCAACCCATCAAAGATACGAAAAAAAAAAGATTAGTACAAAAGTTTCTTGGACCCTCCTGAAGTTTTAAAATATTTTAATTTTGCTGATACAGGGTGTCCCAAAAGTGTCCCCACAGACATCAACTTTGTTATTTTAAATGGAACTCCTACATATTTCGACATTTTTGGAATCCTTGGTTGAAATAAAGGTCACTTTCTTAACCAATTGCAATTCAAATTTTGCATAGTTTAGGCAGGAATTGAGGTTATATGTTTTTTTTTTCATATTTTATTGTGACGCAACCGGGTATTGCAACGAAAATTTAACCACAGACTAAGGAGATGATGCACTACTCAATGAGTTCAGCTTATTCAGAGTGTCCCAAATAGGTGGTGCTGTTTTGGCGAATTCAATTAACAAAATCTCACGATTTTCACTATATTTTTATTGTTTGTAATTTATCTTATATTTAAATTTTACTTACTTTTTGAGTTATTCGAGGTTTAAAAAATTTCGAGGTTAAAAAATTAGACAAGAGATTAAATAATAGTGATGCCGTTAGAAATGCTGTCTCCGGCATTGCGACGCGCTATACAATGTGTATTGCAGAGGATGGATCGAAAATATATTTAAATTGAAAATATGAAAAAAGTGACATAACCTCAATTTTTGCCTAAGCTAAGCAAAATTCGAATAACAATTTCTTAAGAAAGTGACCTTTTAAACAAGGATTCCAGAAATGTCGAAATATACAGGGTGTTCTATTTAAAATAACAAAGTTGATGTCGGACGGACACTTTGGGGATACCCTGCATCAACAAAATTATAATATATCGTCAGGACAGTACAAGAAACTTTTGTACGAACCTTTTTTTCGTATATCCTATCCAGATCGCATAGTGGATCGTTTTATTTGGCACACGGTGTGCATTTACATATGTACACTGTAGTGATCTGGTGAACAAATTTAGTTACTAATTAAAGTTATTTAATAATGCAGGATATTGAAAAAAATATCAAAGATGCGTATGTTATCAGTTATTATCAGTTATTATCTCGAAAACAACAACAATATACAACCTAACACAAAGTAGTCCTAAATCTAAATAAGATAGGACTATAGAAATAGGTGGTTTCCGTTTGATTGACCCTGTATTATTAATAAATTAAATTAAATTAAAACAGTGTAAAGAGCAAAATTTTGAAAAATAAGTGTGAGATAAATGTACAGAAATTTGGTCTTCAAAAAAAAAAAAAAATTGAACATCAAATGTTAAATATCCCAGAAACGGCGAAATTTAGCTATTAAGCGTAACCAGGTACGGTATTAAAAAAACGGATAGTCGTACAAATTTAAAAGAAAAAATTATTAAGTAAATGGTCGAAATTATTTTCGAGTCTCTGAAATGACCACCACAAAAATTTCTAATGTTAATCATAGCTACACTGGATATTTTAAAATGCCTTATGCTCTATCTCGGCGAGGAATATGGCAGAGCGAAAATGGTCGACTATTTGCTTAAATAAATGTTGCATTTCAATAAACTTGGACTCGGTAAAGGCCATAAATTGTGATATAAGTGACGCGATTGTGATTACTTACCTTGCTACCAAGTGGAGATATTAATTTATTAGATAGTCGAATAAGGTTCCAACAACCTAGTGAAACCCGCATCTAAAGTATGAAAACAGGATCACTAATCAATTGTTGAAGAATTTTTTTTTGTTTTTGTTAACTATTAAGTGGTTAAATGTGGAAAACCATTTTTTCTACTCCCGTCTGTAAAACACCTAATTACACACCGATCTAGCATGCGGGAACCGTCACTTTACCACGTCAGTTTCGTTGTTCCACGGACACTTCGGACATTTCCGGGATTTTACCGACTTTTAACGTTTGTCAATTCTAACGGTCATGTCATGTTATTCGTGTTATTTTGCGAAAATGTACTCAAAAACTAACGGTCGTAGAAAAAGTATAGTATGCAACACGTTCGGTAAACTTTGTAACTCACTCGTTTATTAAACACTCGTTCCGCTCGTGTCAAATAAACTCGTGAGTCAAATGCCATTTACCGTACTTATTGCATAATATACTATCCGATAGTATATTATGCAACAAGTGCGGTAAACGGCATTTGACGCATAACACGAATAACATGACATGACCGTTAGAATTGACAAACGTCAAAATTCAAATAGTGGGAAATATATCCGAAAACATCCGATTGATCCCAAACCCGTGCGGTAAAATCCCGGAAATGTCCCAAGCGGCTCGGATCCGAAGGAAACGAGACAGACGTGGTTTTAAAATTCAAGATAACAATTATGCGTAGTATGTCTAGAATTTTCCAGGGAATCCAGAGAAACAATAATATATAGGGTGTTTCATTTGACATAAAAAAGGTGACACCCACTTCCAGGTATATCCTGATGTACCGCCATCTTGAAAATGTTACAAACCCCAAACACCCAATGAAATTTTTAAATTTTTTCTACTTATGGTTTTCAAAGAACACATTGAAGAAGTTTCCGCTGGGATAGCCATATACAGAGTTCCTCAAACTCGATGGCCTAGTAGAACTATATGGAGGTCGGTCTTTTTTTTGGACCAATAAATAAAACAGGTTCAGGGTAGTAGTAAGGAAATTGAAACAAAATTAATGCAAATTAAATAAAATTAGTCATCAGAATACTTAAGCTCTGGCGAAACATTGGCAAGTTCAACTCAACAACTGACGCAGGATGAATCCAGAAGTTTCGTAGTTTCGTTAGTTTCGTGGTTTTTCGAACAATGGTTTATTGAACAAATTATCATAATTTTTTCATGCAGTTTCGCCTACTTGAATATCTATTATTACATAGAAAATACATGGGCGTACTAGTTAAATTAATATATGCCAATTACAATTGATTTTGTCTCTCTTACCCCCAAGTAATCGTGATCGTTGTGACGAATGTCTTGCATTCATCAGATAGACACATTTAGGGAACGACATCTGTTGAAGTATAAGTGGAACCAAGATGAACAATCTATTTTTTTCTGTCTGGCATTTTACTGTCGACTACAGCATCATAAATAATAATAGAGTGCGTGCGCTTCTGTTTAATTAAAAAATGTTTTTTTTTTCAAAAAAATTATTTGGTGTCTGGTTTGATTAGCAATGTCCCAAATATTTTAAAAATAGAAACCATAGCCTCCTATGACCTAATTTTTAAATGCTTATCTTTGTCCATTCTCCATATACTTCTAACAGGCCAACAAGTTTGGGGAACCACGTACTTATATCGTAATATAACATATGTGTTGCCAACCTCAGTCCCTTATAGTTAAAGCAAAGTGGTAAACATTGTTGACATCTTAATTTAAGCTAAAAAATATTTGCTATTCCGAAATAATTACGTTTGGCTTGGCAAGTGCGTCAACTGGGTCCGTTTTTTCCTAATTACTTCGTAGGCCTCTCCTAAATTAGTTTGCTCCGGATGTCTTATCAAAGGAGTTGCCGTTGAACCCGGACACACTCCTATTACTTTAACCTTGGTTCGTTGATAATGTTCCTGACAACCCCAAGCCAAAGTCATGCCGTGGACTGCAAACTTCGTGGCGCCATATATGGGCCTATCCCCTAAAGGTTCCACCCCTCTAATGGAAGAAACGTTAACTATAACCCCCTCAGCCTTATCAGATTTGTATTTGGGGATGTAATTTTCCAGACCCAATAGCATGCCGTGAACCGTACCGTTCTAAAAAAATGCCATAGCAAAATCCTATTTGCCGCCTTCGTAATGCTTTACGTGAAAATAAATAAAACCTTAAATATGAAAAATAAATTGATTTCTTTTTAACTTCGGAGAAACTTTTAAAACATCATCAAGATTTCAGAGAACATCCAATCACGTTATCAAATAACCATATCACTTAAGAATTCATGGGAAATATTTTTTTTTTACAAAATACACAATCCTATAATTGATTGCATACTATATTGGTTTGTAGAGTCCAATAACTGGTATGGTGTTTTCACAAATAAATGGTTTTAACCTAATAACTGCAAAGGACGCTACATACAGTCGTAAATTTACATTATCAGTGGCATGGGCCGGACCATAAAGAGAATGAAAAAAAAATAAGTTGGTGGAAATGTACTTATACTGGTGTTTTATTTTTTTTTTTAATTTAATTTCTTACAGAAAGTGAAGGGTATTGGTGCGGCACCACATGATTTTTTTAAAAAGAAACATATAAAGAAGCGATCTTTTAATTAGTTTTAAAAACGCATTGTTCAATGTTACCTTTTATGCCAATATTATTCTTGTACTTCCCCTCTCTACAGCTTTTTATATCACTCATATGTTGTAAATTTGGAAATATTTGCAATAAAACGTTTTCTCTTGTAAAAATCCCATATTTTGCAATTAAGATTTTTGATAAAATCTATCAGTGTTTTGGATAAAATCAAAGTTTGTGGCAAAAACACTAACAAACTGAAATTTAAAAAGATTAAAAAGATTAAAATTTTGTAATGTCTTCATGCATAGATATTTTGCTGAAAATATTTTTCAAATTGTAACACATCAACCATGTATAATAGAAACAATCGGAATTATTGGAGCAATAAAAAAGAAGTGAAAACACAAAAAAGAACATTTTTTTTTTTATGACGAAAATTTAAAATTCGCAAGACATTTTCAATTTTAACTTCCTTAATGAAAACCAGTTTCTTCAGAATGGAATTTCATATTTAGAAACAGCGCACACGTATTGATCAAAGTGAAGCAAATTCAAAATTAACTGCACTAATTCTGTGTTCTTATTTCAGTAAGCATAAGGCTTAAGAATTAATAAGAAATTGTTTTCGTTGTTAGGAGCATATGCATTAGTAGATAATTAAAAAATTATCTCGTGTGTATGTTAATAATTTAAATACCGAACAACTTTTTGCAATAGGAAATCTTATACAAAGCCCCTCCCCCATTTTTGATGCCAATTTGGATAAAAATATACAAATGGGGCGTGTTTAACGATTTCTTCATTTAAATTTCTAATATAAGTTTTGACCAGTTTTGTATTTATTTATATTTTAAATTTCAAAACAGACCACTGAAGAAGATCCTCTTTTAAGAGGAAATCATTTCCATATATATAATAAAAACTTTCAGTCAGAGAAATCTATAGATATTTAGAGTTGTCCACGTTATTTTTCACATAAAATTTAAAATATATCAAGACTAAGTATAGGATATTTTATACGTGTAGAAAGTTTCGAGGAATTCAAACATTCAATAATATACAGTGTGTCTGTTTAAATTAATAAATTTGTTGTTTGATCTCGAAAATACAAACATACTATTTATTTTGTATTTAAACAACTTTTGTCTTTGTTTTTTTTTTTTACTTCTTAAACGCGCGAACCGAGCGCTCGAGCAAGTCGATATACTTTGCTCACTCATTAAAAAATAGCCATTTACTATACCTACCACGTTGACAGAGATCTCACGTTCCCAAATAGAGTCATTACACAGGCCGGCATTGTTTATTAATAGGTCTATGTTTTTAAATTTCTCGATGGTAATACGAAATGCACCTAGAATTGTAATTGAGATGTTAGTTTTTAGAATTAAACTTATTAATAGTCACTCTCGAAAATGAAATAATCCGTTACGTCTGATTGTATGAAAATGGCTTTTCCCTCGCCAAATTCTGAGTTTAAGGAGTTCGCTGCATCCTCTCCACTCTCCTCATCGAGGTCCACTAAACTTACTCCCTGCAAATCACATTTTATTAATTTTTAGCATTTTAGCATTAACTGGCTGACTCATTTTTTCTATATTTATCCAAAAAGTATGCTCTCAGCAAATATACGGTCTTGTGTGTATCGCGCGGATATTCGTGATAAATTAATCAAGCCTACCTGAGCAGTTGGCAATAAAGATACATCAGTCTATTACGCGCCCCATTTTCGACATTTAAATTTTTAAAATTACCCATTTCCTGGTATTTCTCACATTTGGGGTAACTAACTTACCCGTAACCCATTGCTTAGAAGTTCTTTGGCACAACTTAAACCAATCCCCGATGCACCACCAGTAATAAGAGCAATTTTTCCTTGAACATTGAATGTCATCATTATACCTATTACAAACCAATTTGCCAGAGAAATAAAACACACAACACTTAGAAACTGATAAGTAGATAGCTATTCCTACCATATCTGATAACTTTGTTTGTAAACTTAATATTTTAACACGCAAACATGGAATTTGAACATTACTTACCGCAAGTACCTAATACTATCTATCTACACCTACAGGACTTGAAAGACAAAAACGCTACGCCGACGTGCGTGCTACAATTCTGCACTGCTTTTCCATACCTTAACTCCTTTTTTGCCTGAAAATTTAATAGGATTTCGACGAATTTTGACAAAATTCTGCCGTCAAAATGCCGCATCCAAACAATGACAATGTGTCAGTGGCCATGGTGCTTGATGAAACCCGCAAGGTCTTATGGGTCCTACATCAGAATTTGTCATTAGAGCGGCCATTGGTTAAAAACGATATTTTAAATCTGACGCATGCGCACGTTGAACGAACCTCAATTTTTTTTTACATAGTTGCTTCACGAGTTTTTGTTCTGTGAGTATCGGCAGGGCCTCTATATATCTAGCAGGTATACGACTAGCTGTTCATTAATTTTTAAGGATATCGCTGTTCAAAAAGATGACAAATAGGAGGTAGCCTGTAAAGTTTCATGCGCAAAAAATCATTTGTTGCGACGCAAAAAGCTTATAGCTGCGTGAGGTGCAATTTATCTTATATTTATTACAGCTTTACCCTTGAAGATTTTCAGACAATAAAATGATTTATGAACATTAACACATTTTATTTTAAAAAACTAATAACAATTTCATTTCACACATTAGCAACGGCTTGGTATATCAACATATCTTCTATTATACCCGTAAATTTTGCAGTTTCACTTGCAGGTATGAATAAAGTGGTTCCCGAACCAACTCGGCTGCTTTGATACTGTGCTTGCCCAGAAATAACCAATAAAATACTAGCACAATCTCGTTTGGCAGGTGTGAAACTGAATTCAGATTTAGGAACCTGCAAAATCAATTTAAAAAATAACCCATTTAGATGATAGAAAATTATGACTACCTCAATTCGGACAACAGCAAAATCAGGCACAGGAGGTTTAAAAATGACTGAAAACTTATCTTCCTGTACAGGAGCAAATAGTTTTGATTCTGCTTTTTCCCCTTTATATATAAGCATCGAACATAGAGTCTCGACATCGATAAATTTTGGAGTTAATCCAGCCCTTACCACATTGTCTGAGCAGGCCATGCACTCAATACAATCTGAAATTAAAGTCTTGGCCACACATTGAAAGAGTGTTTCAATTTTTTTCTACCCCCAAATAAGTACGCGTGCGGTACATTGGCGCCTAAAAAGATAGCTTCCGATGGCTTAAGCTTTAAATAGTTTAAAAAATACACCATCAGAATGCCGACGTCATATGGAAATTGTTGGTGCAATCTCTCAACAAGCTCAGCGCAAAGAAAATTTCGTCTATCTTTGGCTAGAAGCAAGAACACGTAAAAGAAATTTTCAATTATTATGCAACACTTACCTACTTGATTTTTTTAAATGATGCAATAAATCATTTATTAGTTTCTCTGTGATCGACTGTTGACTAGTAAGTACAGCTTTAAATGCATTCTTGATATACTCTGACTCGTCTTCATCTGCACAACTAACAATTACTTTTAACTGCGGTATTTCTAGAAATGTTTATGAAATTAGTATATCAATATCAAAATAATTTTTGTTGAATCTACAAGACACAAATTTCATGATATTTGTATGATGAAAGTATGATTTGTCTGAAAGTGTTGTGCTAAAAAGACCAAAGAACAATGTTCAAAATATTAATTTTTGAAGATACCGTTGTCCCAAATAGTATAAAATTAATACATGCTTGACCCCTTACCTTCCACAAATCTTTTAATTTCTTCTTGACGTCTAAACCCACACAATGCCTCAAATTCCGTTAAAGCTATTGCCATTTCTGGCTTATGATTTGGGTCTTTGTAAATTTTTGGAAACTTATGATGCAACTCTTCTGCATGTTTCTAAAATTCAAGTATTGTTTTCTAAAAACACTGCAATATTCTATTCACTTTTTGGCAATACCTTTGATGGATGTGCCTGTATGGAAAGAGCTTTATTCACAGACAGAACTTTGAACAAAAAAGGCAATTCCCCATTGAATCTTCTTAGAACTTCATCCCCTAAATACTCAGGATGCTTAGCTATTATTTCGCCAAGCTCTTGACTATTGTGTTTTACTAGAGAAGGTCCATTAACATGAGTCCCCATCCACATCTCAGCGTAGGGCACAGTTTCGTCAAATGGAAATTCTGGATTAGCATTTCTTTGTAGCTTAGCAACAGCGCTATCCAAACCCACTTTGCCCCATTCATAATTTTGTACTTTACAAATGAGTTCCATTTTTCAATTGTCTAAACCTATAGATATGCAGAAAAAGTTTCGGAGTCACCTTTAAATCAACATTAATTAAAGCGCTTAAATTGTCTTTTTGATAATAAATCAAAGTTTTTCTAGGCCACATTGACATGTAATATGTTATCCATATTGCAGTCACTAATTATTCAAAATCAAAAGTCGTCAAATGTTAGACTGTAATCGATCATTGCCAAGTTGTAGTCTTTCTGTAATTTGTGTGTAAATCATACTATAAACACGAATATTGTCCACAACAATAACAGGAAAAGACACTTACTAAAACCAACCAAATACTTATTTCTACATAATTAAAATACAGATTATTAAATTAAATTAATGTATTACTGGTACAACACAAAGCGTATCACCTATTTTAATAAAATCATGATTCAATAAAAAGCAGAACACAAACTAACTAGAACACAAAACATAACAAATAGACACAACACTAATTCAAATTCAAATGAATCTGAATCGGTCGTTCGGACTGTTCGGATTCAGTGATTATTGCCGCTTATGTTGGCATCAAAAATTATTGAAATGATTAGGTCCTTTTCGAAATCGGTAACTGATTGATAAGGTCCTCGTAAAATGAACGATTGACACAACACTACCACCATAGACAACTATATTATATTGATTATCACAAATATAGTAACCATAGAATTAATTATTTCTATGGTAGCGGTAAGGCATAAATCTAATAATTTAGGAGTCAACCCAATTTGTTTATTGCAGGCACCTTTTTTGAAGGCGCTTATTGTTGTACTCTTTTTCCACATATTTTTAAATAATAGTATAAATAAGAATATGCTCAACAACAAAACCAAAAAATAAGAGATACTAAGCAAAACTGACAACGTACTTGCTTATTTCTACTCAATTAAATTGGAGAAAGCCAGCAGCATCATTCGACCACTGTCAAACATTTAATGCCTCCAATTTTTCCTAAGAAACTTCCATAGGATACTGTAATTCTATTTACAAATCTTCTAGATTCCGCATGTGCCCGTTATTGATAAATCGTATTTGCTGATGTTTCGCCAATCTTTCAGTTCGCTAGTTCAGAGCAAAACTGTGTTTGAGGGAAGCGAAGAGCGACGAAACTAAAATTCTTGCAGAGTCAATTCTTCTAGCAGAATCAATAGAAATCTCTAAATATCCAAATAATTTTAGCCGCAACTCAGATCTGTACCTTTCCCGAATATGGGAATCAATCTTCAGGATCAATGGCGAAACTTCGCCAAGTTCGATTCTTCAACAATCAATGTAGGAGGAATCCAGAATATCTGTCAGAAATATTTAATTCTTCTATTTAATCGTCCCGTCAACTAAGGAACTCGAATTGGACTTATAGGCCACAAAAGCAAAGAAGAAGAAGAATTGACGCGTGGAGGCTATGTTTATATTGATAGTTTGTGTGGCAAATTCGAAGTGTTCAACTTGTTCTTTATCATTCTGATAAAATTTCATTACAATTTTTTAAATATATTGAAAACTAAATACACTGTTCGATAATACAATACTACGTAGAACTATTAGTATTTTAATTTCCGAAATGGCCATAGACTTGAAAGTTTTTACCTTAAACTGCTGGTAACATCATTAGTATTCGAGTTAATTTGAAAACTGCACCAATCCGTTTTAGGGGTTTACGGGGAATTTCGAAAAACAGAAAAACTCGCATAAATGCGATTGCCGAAGTTTTATCTAAAAAAGACTATGATGTCATTTGTTTGCAAGAAGTGTGGATGGATAAAGACTATCAAACTATAAAGCTCAAACTTGAAGAAGTGCTCCCATATTCACACTATTTCTACAGGTAATTTTTGAATATTTGCTGCATTGACCTATGTAGAAATTTTAATAGTGGCGTGGTTGGGTCAGGGGTATGCATTTTTTCGAAACATTTCATTGAAGAAGCATTTTTTCACCATTGGAGCGTAAATGGATATATTCACAAATTGCACCATGGAGACTGGTGGGCTGGAAAAGGAGTTGGTCTGTGTCGCCTTAAAATTGAGACCGACGAGTGCAATTATCATGTTAATATTTATTCTGCTCATGTGAGTAAAATGGCAGTTTATACTTGATTTAAGTCAATCATTTTTTGCTTTAGTTGCATGCTGAGTACAACCGTGCTACAGATGACTATTTAGCACATAGAATCTTGCAAGCCTATGATACCGCTCAATTCATTTTGCTCACTTCGGGTACAGCAGATTTAGTAGTGTTGGCTGGTGATTTGAATACAGAACCTGATGATTTAGCTTATAGGTTTGAAGAATTCGCCCAAATTACAATGATAGTGCACAAATATATTTTAGGATAATTTTGAACGTGCCTGGACTTACCGACTCATATCTGAAGGCAAACAATACAGATCAGGATGGTTTTGCAACATGTGAGAGCTACTTAAATAGTTATACAAACTCTGCTGCAATTAGAAATAGGGAATTGGGGAAAAGGATAGATTATGTTTTATATCATCCCGGCTCAAATGTAAGGGTAGATTTTAAAAGTTATTCACTGCCATTGCCTGCACGAATACCTCAACAGTGTTTTAGTTTCTCTGACCACGAGGCAATTCTAGTTGAATTTAAGATATCTAAACAGGGCACACCTAATAGAGATCTACCAGATTTAAATTCCAAAAAAATTGTTTTGGAGAAATCAATATTTTTATGTCAAAAAGCATTAAAAAGTATTAAAAGAACAGAATATTTGTACTGGCTTGGAGTATGCCTATCACTTATGTTACTGGTAGGCAGTTTAATTTTGCCAGCTACTCGAATTGACTTTGTTGTTGAAAATATTCGCCCAGTATTATCTGTATTACTGGTAATTTTTACTATATCAACGATTTTTTGTGTCCTAATGGCCACAATATGGACTAGAATTGAGAAACATGGGGTTCTTTCAGGAATATTGGCAATGGAGAAATCTTTAAGAGTATTAATACATGAATGAATATTCAATATCAAGGAAGTTAAATTTTCAGGTGATAAAAAATGGTCCAAAAATTCTTACACTCATTGTATTTTAAAATGAACTACTTAATTATTTAAGTATAGTCCAGTGGTTTAAATATTGTCAGGGTATGCTTGAGGTGCAATAGCAGTATGATTATTTGTTGATGTTGTTGCTCACTAAGTATATCCATAGAGGGAAGTACAGCTGGGTTTACCCACTCATGTCAAACCAACTTTTGGTAAATATGAGAATATTAATGAAACATCTTGTTTAAATGCAGAATTCTATGTACTATTTCAATAAAAACTTTGTAGACAAAAATGTAATCTTACTAAAAACAAAGTAGCTAACCCTTTGTGGAATTATCACTCGCCCCTTATTTCTGACAGCTTCAAAACTAATTTAAATACCCCCAAGAAAGAAACACGAACTTACCGCAATAATAGATAATCCTGGAGTTACGTATGAAATTGGTAGAAGCGGAAATTTTAACTGTTGTCGCCAAATGACATCCAGTTGCACAGTGTTGCCAAACTGCTATCCGGTTTATCCAAGAAATTGCTCATAATAGCAAAATTGTGGTTATATAAAGCTGCCCCATTCATTTTTCATGAAAAACTCCACCTCCAATCCAAAAAAAATAGTAATGATTTTAAAATATACAGTAGTAAATTTCACATCCTTTTAGTTTTTCTATTTCACTTTTGAAATTAACGCATGAACCAAACATAATGACATCAAAATTTCATAAATGTTACCGATATACTATTGCAATGGAAAAAATTTGAGAGATAAATGCGATTTTTTTAGTATGTACGATCATCTAGGAAATTATAACTAAATATTTTAAATAAAGAACCATGGTTGCGCCAACTAAATTCGTAGAGTGCAGGATTACCTATTAAAAAAATCATATGGCAACAATTTAACGCTAAAAAACAAAACCGTATTTGCAGAACGTAATGAGGACGAGAAGTTTCTGTGGCTTGGATACTATCAAATGAAAAGTCGTTTACATAACGAAATTTGTCTAGCCGCCTGGGAAAGACGAACGAAAAGTCAACGTAACTAAATTAATATAAAAAAAAAATGCTTTATTTCAAAACGATAAATTTATGGTAAAAACTGGATGAATAATTATTGCATATCGTAAAAAAGAAGAACGAAGCAAGATGATTTCCTGACATTAACCCTAAATATATATTTAACTTATTCCAATCCAAATAATACAAAGTACTAGTATATAAAAGTTCATTAAATAAGGCTATTAGCTTATTTTATTTCTGCTCTAAAAGCGATATAATTATCGTGTTTGTGTGGTTTTCAGCAATTTCTGTTTTGGAGGTTAAACAATATTTTGTTCAACAATTCCGTAAAGAAATAACTTTTAAAAATGGAAGAGTCCCAAGGAGCGGTATTCAGAACAGTTTTATATTATTGTATTTTTATATTAGCTTCGCCAGTATTAACGTTTTTTGTAACGAAATTCGTTTTCTTCGAAGGTGTTATTATATTAAACAACATGACACTGAAATAAAAATGTCTTTTTAGGACTTTTTGGTATATCAACAGTAAGTAGCAACGTATGGTCTGCGGTAGCAGCTGTTATCATGCTTCATATAGCATTGGGACTCTATATTTACCGAGCCTATTTTGAAGCCGAGAAAGGGAAACCTTTGGAAAAAATTGACTGAGACAGTTTGTTTGCTTTTCAATGTGCAGTCATTTGTATTTTACGTATAATAGTAGTTACACATATAGTGGCTTTTTTAACTTTACTATCCACCAAAATTTCTTGAGCTGTATTTTGTGTAATAAAAATATATGAATTATTACACTTGCTTAAATTCATTTTCCATGCTGTTACAGCAATATACTTCGATCTTAATAATAATATCTTTATATTATGTTATAGCAATGTACATACATATTAATATACTTAGATGTCAATAATAATTGATTTAAGGCTGTTGCCAAAGAGCATTTTAGAACAGATTGAAGATGCATCAATTAATTACAGGAGTCATTGGGGCTACAACAGAGCAGCAATATTTTATCAGTTTATTGGTTCATGAATATTAAAGTGAACAACATTTACCTAACATTTTATAAAAAAATACTTCCATGACAGCTATTACAACTTGTGAAATAAATTTCAATTTGTAAGTCCAGAGCAGACTGTTGCATCAGGGTTTTGTTCGGTGGTCTGTGGTGTTCCTATTCTATGGCCTTAAGAGGTTAGAATGTGGGACTCTTAGCTAGGTAACTCGCGCGCTTATGTCGGAACCTCATGACACAGTTTAAATAAAGGACTTGTAGTGGAGTTCTCTTTTATTATAAAAAGCCTCCAATACGACTAGCCAACCAAACTAAAGAGGAAGTTCAGACATCACAACAGAACCCTTATGATTTTGCGCAAGCGTGGATGGTTGTAGTAACGTCAAAAGTTTCATTTCGCGTCACATGACCCGTTTTGTCCCCGTGACCAAAGTCGCAGGCAAATTCAAAATCCTGGAAGAAAACGCTGGTTATCTCGTATAATGGATATTTTAGATCCTTTAGATACAAGGTACATTTAATACATCCTGAAAACAAAGGAACCCCATGCGTGTTATATAACAAATAACATTGCACAAGGTCATTCTGTGCTTAGTATTATTAGATAAATACTTCTATAATACGATAATTAGATAAGGATAAACACAGTAAAAAGAAAACATTGCTTGCAGCGATGGGGAAATTATGGAGGCCAAAGTTATAAATATTAAGAATTCAATGGAGAGTGATGATGAACAGAATGTTGAACACCTTTCCCCTCAAACACTGCTTGAAACGCCAGAACCAGAAGTACAATATTCTTTGAGATCTCCCGAAGGTAATTAGACAATTTGCTTCAGCAATAAGTATTGTGTAACTTAAATTATATTTTTTATTTTTGCCATTATCAAGGGTCTATGATAACTTACCGTGTATTGCAAGTGGAAGATGGAACAGACTCATCACCACCCCAACTAATAACCACAACAGCTCAGAATTTTTCATCCTCAGCTGTGCCTCAGGTTTTAACTAATAATTTAAATGGACAAATTTATGTAATAGGAAATCCAGGAGACGTTTTTACATCTCAAAGTGCCGCAGCTCGTGCTATTGCCCCTAGGTCTACTGATAGTCCTGTTGTTGTCCAGGTTAAGAAAGTAAGTGTCATTTTCAAGCCTAAACTTTAATTTCAGTAATTGCTTTCTTTGGCTGACCTTTCCTTTCATGCTTTTTTACCTTTTATTGAAAACTTTTAAATAACACACTCTCAGAACTGCTTTGTGGTTATTGCTTTACTCACTGCTGTGCTGTAAGTGGTTGGATTGTTGCATATTATAAAAAGGTATTACATAATTATTAGAAAAAAAAAGGTTTAATATGTTACATTTAAACAAAGATCCATTAGATCACTACTATATTAATATTTTGGTACATGTACGTAAATAAAGGTTATAGAACTCGAACAGAACTTCTCTACATTGGGTTTCGATTGTATGAATAAGTACTTATATAGCAATTGGTGTATATTATTGTTTATAGTACAGTTGTTTTTAGAGAGATGAACGAAGACGAGCAACCCACAACGAAGTTGAAAGGCGACGGAGGGACAAAATAAATAATTGGATTACTAAATTGTCAAAGATAATTCCGGAGAATTCACATGATATGAAAACTGGTGGACAATATGACGGCCATTCTAAAGGTGGCATCCTAGCCAAGGCGTTTGAATATATTTTGGAGCTGCAAAATACAGAAAAGGGGTTGGAATCATGTTTGAAAGAAAATAAAAAATTATCCCATACTGTAGAAATGTTAAAACAGAAAAATTTCAATCTCGAAAGGGAGAATAAAGAACTAAGAGACTTATTAAAACGAAATGGTGTGGAAATGTCCAATTCATAGCTTAAGAGCCTTTAGGGTTTATGTGCATATTAAATATTTGACATATTACAAGTGTGACCTGAGAGACCAATTGCTGTCGTTTGGGTGTATATTGAAAACCACTCATCGGTGATTTCGTTAAAAATTTGGTTATTTTTATGTTTTGCAAAAGATTGTGTAGCACATATCTTATTAACAATCTATAGAGTTATGAGAAATTCTCGAAATGCTAAGGGCTGACTGAAGCGTAGATTGTGGATTGAAAATTATTCTAAATCTCGGATTTTATCGATGAAGAAAAACTGACTATATCCAAAGTACGCAAACCTGTATGATTTCAAGCATTAAGATAATAAGCAAGATGTCAAACGCAGTGCACTTCCAATATAATTTTTGTAAACTGTTGTTTCATTTTGTCAGTATCGTTTACAGTTATAGAGGTAATTGAGCTCTTTTGATTGGTCTATTCTTTGGTATACACTTGAGACAATTGAAATGCCTCTAAAATGATTTAATTACGTTGGACCAGTCAAACACAAAATGCTCACCAATGTTTTGTAATTCGAAGATCAATCTTAAACTTTCCCTAAAATTAATGGAATGGTAAAATTTTCAAAAAATCACAACCAATCACTGAAATCATTTCTCAACTGTTATCAGTGAGTAGTTTTCTAGTTTAGTGGCATTTTATCGATAATGGCCCAGCCACTCAATTTGGGATTGTAAATTTTTTGTCGGTCAATTCTATTAGCATGCACTTTTTAAAAAAGTGCATTGTGGAATCTAGATTCCTGTTTTCATAGTGTAAATATTTAAAATGCATCGAACCAGCAATTTTATAAGTTCTTGTTTAATTATTGTTATTTTTTATTTTTTTATGATATACCTAGTGTTGTAAAAAAGGAGTTTTGAGTTTGAAGAATTTATTGCCAATTATGTTTTAGATAATTGTATAATTTCTGTTGAATATAATTAAGTTAAAACTATATTTTGTTTGTCCCTCCATTAAGAGGAAGTACTGCAACAAATGTATACATAAACCTACCAAATCCACCTTCTTTTAAGATCAGCACTTTCTTACCTGGAATCTGGAAAGCGTGTTTTTAGCTCTCTAACACTTGAAAGGGCAAACTATGGTAATACAAAAACGTCCATAAATTTAAATTTAAAATATATTAAATTCAAAACTTACACACCCGTGATGAATTTCAAACAATAATACAAATGCAAAAACAATTCACTAAACATAATATATACAAAAGCTGTAATTTTTCAGTTAAATCATGCTAAGAATCTTATTTTATGCACAGAACTAATCCTAAGAATGATTCGACATTACTTCACTATTGAATAAATAGAGCTATAATATTCTATATATAAAAGAAAAATTGTTTAATCCTTTCGCACCTTCCTTTTCCTTGCTCCTTCTGAATTTGCTGTTTGATTCTACAAAAATAAATGTTTTTAAAAAGGTAGACCTATCAGAGTCCTTAGCAATTTAGAAAAAAAAGTATGACAAATTTCTAAAACTCTGAACTACGCCATAAATTGACGTTTAGGAATTCTTAAATTTGCCAAGTTGCTGAGAACTGCAAGTATCAGGACCGCTGACATCAATGCTACGTATGAAATGGAGAACCAATAACAGGAATAATTTTTAAATGTTAAACTTCAAATTACCACACTTTTCTGTCACTGGTTCTGTATTTTAGAGCATATGTTTAAAAAAAAATCACATTTCTTTACCTGTTCACCAGTCTTGGTCTCATCTTCCACAGCTTCATTATCTTCTTCACTATCTGGATTTGAGTTCTTTTCTGCATCTTCCTCCTCCTCCTCCTCCTCCTCCTCCTCGTCATTAGCGTCTGCCTCTTGACCTTCCTGTTGTTCAATCACTTGTTTATTGTTATCCTCAGTAACTTCATCAGTCTTTTTTTTCTCAGCTGCCTGGTTCAGTTCTTCCTTCTCCTGAAATATTCAATGTGATCTTGCAGCCCTGATCTCACAATAACACTAATGAAAGCAGTGAACAAATTACCTGTTGTTTACTAGCGGAGGGTTTGCAGCAAAGGTATAACACAAATGCTACAGGTATTCCTAATACTACAATATACAAGGCCCAAAGGATCGGGTAGTCATTTGTTATATTCGCAAGCTTTTGTACAAGGCTCTCCTGTATACAAAAAAAAAATAACATTAATAATCCAGGTTGCATAAATTTTGGAACAAGATAACAAATCTAGCAAAATCCTACACTACAAAATCCAGGACTACTGTAGAGAGTATTGATACCTCCTTGACGCATCTGTACAAATAGTACCCATACAATACTATCGGGAAGGCGCAATACATAAAGTACAGAGTCCAACCTGTCAGATTGTAGTTCAGAGATTTTTTGATTCTCCCGAATAATGAGACCTGTCGACATATTAAGTCCAGACACCTTACAAGAATTCTACTTTATTATAAATTGCTATGAATAATTTCTGAATTTTGAAAAACTCATGTGAAATTCAGTATGAAAAACATAAAATATTTCTGGTACTATTTCACTACATCAAAAGTATACTCACTGAATCTTTGGCGATTTTCTGACGTTTCTTGTCAAACGTTGCAGCTGCCCAATGTTCAGCTACTTCAATTCGATCAGTTATGATCAGATTGTCAAAAAGAATATCATTTGACATGGACCAAAGTTCAAATCCTACTGCTGACTGAGAATAGAAATGCATTATAAGGACATTAATTACCCTGATACAAAAAATTTAAAAAGATTTATATGTATTGTTTTTTACATATCATACCACAGGGTGCATTCTAAATGGCTCCTTGTCTTCAAAAAATTCTGGATTGGGTATCCTTCTAGGTTTCCATTTTCCTTTGTAATTGGGGTTATCAATCATGGGAGGTCTCCATTTTCCCTTGAATTCAGGGTTATTTATTAGCGGGGGCTCCCATGGACCGCAACCAGGGGCGTTGATACATGCCGGATTTTCTATTAATGGGGGCTCCCATTCTCCATCCATGTCATTATCCCAGTCCGCTGGTTTTTTAGTATCTTGGTCAGGTATATGAGTTGGTTCATTTTCAAGCCAGCTACAATTAAGTACCTAATGAAGCATTTTTTTTTTACATTTTGAGGCCTTGTTAATTTCTAATGGATAATTTCTCCATAAAATTTTAGTCAGTGCAAACATTTTTAAACAACTTAATCAAATAATGTTTATGTGCACATCATAAACATTATTGCTAGAGGTAAATTAACTGCTTTTTGCATATTATATCTAACTAAAGAAATTGAGGAAGACAGAACACATTTCCGAAGGTCGGGTGCTTCATATGAATATTGACAACAGTTGATGATGTACAATCAAACACTATTTGATTCAACTGTGAACAAAACATACCCTTCAGGCATAACAGCAGATTCATCAACAATCTGAGCAGGAGCATCTTCATTCCAATCATCTGGTTTCACTGCATTGGGATCTGGTATCTTCTCCCGCTCATCCCAATCTTCTGGCCTTGTATCATTTGGATCATCAATTTCTGCAGGGGGATTCACTGGTGGCTCAAAATCTTCCAGCAAATTACCAAAATTCACGATTTTTTTGTCAACTTGAACCTCAAAGTTGTTGTCTGGTCTCAAAATTAAAGTGTATAAATGAGGTAATTTGTCTGAGAAAAACTCTTCCAGGCGCTCCTTTGGTTTACTGCAATGTTTTTCTTCTACTGATCCATTCTTCGGATTTTTGTGTCGAAAAATGAAGTGCAGTTTGTGGTCATTGCCACACTTATCTGGTCCAAACATAATTGTATAAGGGGTTTTGTCATGAAAATTTTTCAAATCTTTGGTAGCTGCTGTGTCGCTAAGTAATTTTAAATAGGCCCCACCACATTCTTGTCCATTTTGCAAGAATACTTCATATTGGACTATCAAGGGATTTTTATCAAACACAAATGGTTTAAATAAAGAAGAAGAAATTGCAGCATGTTTAGCCTTTGATTTTAAAGCTAATCCTTGGTCACCTGGAAGGCTATCTTTTTGAGGCGGCTCTAGGGACCAAACTCCATCATACTTTGCAATCTCCTCTTCAATTCCCTCTTTTTTTGCTTGAGACTTTACCCATTTCTTACTGAATTGATCAGGATTATCAAAATGTTCAGCAAAATAAACTGCAGAAGCATCCAAAGGTGTAGGACTTTCATATGTTACATCTGAGATATTTTCGTCAACTGTCTCCACTGTAACTTCATCCTTTCAAAAAATAATACATTAATGTAATTAATATAAGCTACTGTTTTAAACTTACATCAATATCTTGTGCCAGTGAGACTGACAGTATCAAAATAAATATTTTATATATTCTATTCATATTAAGAATGTTGCTTCCTTACTACCTGAAAATAAATAAAGCTTATAAACTGTTCCTAGGCAAAACATAAAGTTCATTTATGGTACTAAATCAAAACATAGAAATTATTGCAAAGTTTTATTTTTGGCGTGTAACCTTGTGTCTTCGTTAATTTGGAAAATATCTACTGTTTTGGTACTCGGAAAAATCAATAGGTTTGTGTCTCCTAGGTATGTAGACAAACTCCAAACAAAATGGAAAAACAAACACCACTTTCTTCTACCAGTTGCCACACACAACGGAAATTAATTAAAAATCTCTCAATTTCAGTTCCCGACGCCAAATGTGAGTTATTAATTAATTAAATTAAAACTAATCTATCTACTAGCATCCGCCAACTTAACCTCAAATACTGAAAGATCAACAAGATTTTTACCACATGGTGTCGTTAAGAAAAATGAAACATTATTAAAATAACTCACGTGAAGCAAAAATCTAGATTAAAAAACATTAAATTTCAAGTTCTCGTAATCCACAAAGCCTCACACTGATCACGGACACAAAATGACGTTTTCGAATCGTGCATGAACAATTGACATTTGACGTTAATTCCGCACACTCCATTTTTCTAAACACAAGGCAACCAATCAAAATTCACCATATGGCACGATGTAAAGCGATAAAATACGAAATACATTTTGCATTAGAAATGTGGTTATTAACGGTTACGGAGAGATTGCGTCATGACGAACATTTGTGACGATTTTTAACAGCGCATTGGACTTTATACACGGCGATTTAAATAGAGTAATGTCTAAATACATATAATATAACATATACATACATACATATGGACAATTCGAAAGAAGTTTCAAATGTTATTTGTTTGTATACTATGCATTAATAGATACTTCCTTTTAAACTCAATCACTCAATGTAGGGTTGTTATAGTCTATACTGAGTATTTTCGAATTTATTGCCATTTTTTTGTCTTTGCCTTTATTACTCTATATTTTGGGACATAAATTCGAAAACACTCAGTATTGACCCTAACAACCCTACATTGGTTGATTGAGTTTAAAAAGCAGTATCTGTTAATACCAAAATATACAGGATGTTGCATTAAAAATAAATAAGTTTGGTTTTCCACGTATCGTCCGAATGACCGATTCGGATTCAGTGATTGCCGCTCATGTTCCCCAGAAAACCTGCCAAGGTACACGAAAGCAGAGTAGTAAACACTGGGAACAAGTTCATGGGCTAGCTGCCAGATACTTCTGGTAATTTCAGAGCCAGTATGTAAAAAAAGAAGAAGAAAAAGAAGATGGAGAAAGCGAATGTCCTAGAAGATAATTTTAACTTTTTGCATCAAGAAACAACTGATTCAGGCATATAAACCAACGGAACTTATTTTAATTTAAAACACGAGTCGTTGATTATTATTTTTTTAAATAACATCCTGCGATGTCTGATGGTCACAGAAAATCTAACAAACAATATCCTGGAAGTGTCCCAAAAGTTAAATATTCCAACAACACATGTTCTAGAAACGATGAACGCAGATCGAACGCACCGGTAAATAAGCGAAGTTACAGTTTTGAGTGCAGATTCATCCCACTTGCCATTTTTTGTTCTAAAAATATAAACTATAAATAGATGTTTGTGGTTCTAGTTTATTCTTTTTAGTCTACTTCTTGGCATTTTTTTCCTGATTCGACAAATTTTATACGAAACCCACGAAGACTCCAGGGCAATAATCATTTTATGATGGATATAGTGCTTGATCAACCTAATGTAACATCAGATGTAAGAAATGGGATTGTTGGGTATCCTAATGGTCAGTTACATATTTTGTATAGTGGATATATTATATGTATACATCTTATAGGAAATATAACAACTCCTGGCACAAGTTCGTCAACATCAAGAAGAAATTCAACATCATCTGTGTTAAAATGTGATAATGTTACTAAGTATCCAGATAAAAAGCAAATTGAGGACAAGCTTTGCCAAATTCGGGAGTATCTGCAGATAATAAATTCTATGATGATAAATGCCAAAAATGTTGAAGAACAGGTTAATACACATCTGGTTTCTATCTGTTAAATTTCTTTTATCTGAACATATATACTATTTGTTTCATTTCCTGTTTGCCTATGTTTTATTTTTATTATTTTACACAGATTGATGATATAGCAAAAAAGGATTGTTTAATGAAAATGCAAAATGATTTGATAGATAGTGAGGCAAAATTGGTTAATTTATTAGAAGTAATATCAAAACAATGCACAGATAATAGAAATGATAATTTTCAGGTAACTAATTTTTAGTTTAAATCCATGTGATGTCGTAGATAACAACACACAATTGGTTTTTAGATTTCTGGCAATGTGGAAAACGGTTTAGAAAATGATGCAGGTCCCTCTCGGAGAAACGACTCCGATGTTAATGTTTTAGACAACCAGGAACTGGATTTTCTGCGAGAACAACAATTGTCATTGCTAAAGTTACAACAAAAGGCTGAGAATAGGTTACGGGATGCAAGGCTAGTTCAAGAAAAGATGTTTGCTCAAGGTATCTTTTAGGTTAACTCATTAAATTTTATTAACAATCAAAATTGGCAAACATAACATACTCCCGTTTCCCAAAAGTGTCAAGAAAGCTAGAAAGCTTTTTTTTCAAATTTCTTGGGCATGTTAATGTAACGTAACATAGCACCAGCGATACAAGTTAAATTTTGTACTTGTGCAGTTCTCTGGTATACTGTATTGTTTTAAAATGTGACTTTTGATATGTTTTCATTAGTTATAGTTTAAAGTAGTTTACTAATGCCCTATTACTGTATGTGTCAATTCACTTGCCCCTTTTTCCCCATAAAGCAGGTACCAGTAACGAAATAAATTTGTCGAATCAGAAAGACAACAAAAACATGTCTCTTTCTGATTTTGATGCGGCTATTAAGGAACTGGAAGAAAGAGCAAAACATTTACATCCAACTCGACAAACGATGAACACTTCCGATCGATTAATGCATGAGGTTGAAAGTCTACAGAATAAAATAATCGATATGCGAACTGCAAACAACGAAAGGGAGCAACTGATTCAGGTTTTGGACAGCCGCGATACAGAATTGAAAAGCCAACAAGCCGAACTTCAAAGTAAATTGGCTGAATTGCAAACCAAAAAGAACCAAGTGGACCAGTTAGCGGTGCAGCTGCAAGCCTACGATGAAGACGATGAGGACGTCGGTATTCAGGTGCGCAAGATTGTCACAATGAAAGACCAACTGACAAAATTGAAAGATATGTTGGAGATTGTAAAAACTACTGAGAACGCCATGATGGGTGGTAATGTGTCTTCGGAGGCGCGGACAGCCGCTAACGAAATATGCCAAACTGCAGAACACTTTTTGCAAAATCAGTTTGAGAAGGCCAGAGTTGGACAGAGTGATGGTAACAACGGTATGAGGTTCGAGAATAACACGTCAGCTGAAGGACGTCAGAAACAAACGAACACCAATTCTAGAATACAGAATTTACCGAGAAATAAATCCAGCGCGGGCAGTATCAATGAGAAAATTGCCTTGCAAGCTGAGCTAGAGGCAAAAAAGAAAGAGCTGGAGGAAATTATGGGAAAACACAAGGGTAAGGGTAATCCCCCAAATTTCAAATTGGTATACCCAATTTTTTTGCAGCTAATCTCTGTATATAAAAACTTTTGTAGGAAAATTTCTTTTACAAGCAAATGCACAGTTTCTAATATGTTTGTATTTAAATTTTATTTTCGGCTGTTTTAAAGATCACGGTATTTTCGGAGTAAAAAATGTAACCCTACTACTTTTGCTGAAAGCAAAAATTTGTATCATTCCTGGGCAAAAAAGTAAAAGACGTTTTTGTTTTTTTTCGCGCGTTTTCTATGTAAAATTAGTTTTCGACTATTTCTTATTAAAGTCTAGTACTGAAAATAACCTTTCCCACAATTTAAATTTAAAAAATATATTAGTAATAAAAAATATTATAAAATGCACACCACGTCCTGTATTTTGGAAACTACGGATTTTGGACCCAAGTATACTGGCTTTGCTTAATTACCTATCATTTTTAGCGGGAACTTCCAATTTAAATCATGACATAGGAAATGACAGTAAATCAGAATATAGCTGTGTGAGCAACAGCGTTCCAATGAATGAACGCTACTGGAAATCTTCAATGCCGTCTCATAGTCGAGACCAAGGCAGCGAAGCCTTTTCCAGGTAATATCAGCCCTTGCAAAGTTGTATAAATTAACATTCAATTTGCAGCGACGAATGTGACGAAAATGAATACTCGGAGGTACACGAAAATGCGAATCTCTTACCCTCCCATCAGGTCAATTATTTCCCCGTTAATTTGTCAAAACCTAGATGTGACTCGGAATATGACATATCAACGGAGCAGTTGCATAGCTTTTCTCACACACCCGATAGAAACATTAGGAGTATTTCTGTAACGGCATCTGACTTAGTGAGGGAGCAGTCCATAACCAACAATATTGATCAGGAGAAGGTATTCTAGATTCAGTCTAAAAACTCTGTACTCTGTTATATTCACTTGCAGCTTCATAAACAGCTTCAGCTCATCAAGAGTGTATGCGATTCAATGATGGAGCAGCAAACTAACGCGAGTCAGCAACAACCCGTCTTCCAGCAGGTTAGGAACAATATTACTCCATCATCTGGTTATGCCGAAACTCAGCGTTACTCTGCCAATGCAGTCCTTAACACAGAGGTTCCGTGGTATTCTGGACAAAATATCAATGGTCAAAATGATATAACAAACTACCCAAATTGGTTGGCCACCAATACATTGCAAACGCAATCCTTTATGTTGAACACCTTGAACCAATGTTGCCAGATGTTGTGGCTACAACAGAGGGAGTTGGTAGCATTGCGGAACTCAGTGACAGCAGTATGTAGTCAGTCATGTCATGTTTACTTATGTAAATATATTGCGCTAACAAGATTTAACTTAGTCAATAACTGGGTTTATCCATTATAGAATTTTCCCTGCCGTTGGTTTTTGTGCCGTATTTTATGGTTTGCTCTTTTATTGTTCCAGCTACAAGAAAAGATAGAAAGCCCGTACCACAACCAAGAACACCAACCGGTTCCACCCGCTCCGCATCATCCTTCTCCGTTAGATCATAATCGTGCCTCGAATCTCTTCCGACCTAACGTTGCTCAGAAAACTAACCAAGTGTCGGCCGCTTACTCGATGCCCAACTTAAACCATTACAATGTCGCCCACTCCAACATTGACATACCCTATGCTAACCTTAATAACGTATCAAGCAGTCGCCTCTTGGATAGCTGTCTGAACAATACCGGTCCGTCGGTGATTGCTGTTGATCACTCCAATAACATGCTGCACGCTATGAACTCTAACATGAGTCATCACGTATGGAACGGTCAAGCTTTGAATAACCAAGTTGCCCCGGGCAATCGCGCCAACAATTACTGGGATAACTTTCGGAGGTAATTTTCATTTTATCTCGTTTCTCTGTTAAATAGCGTTTTAATTTCTTTCCTTTCGACGCCTTAAATTCCGTTTTTTTTTTTCACGCGCTGGAGACATTCAAACTGCAATATTATTGATATTTTTGCTCTTTGGGATACAAGCCCGAAAAACTCACAACCGCGTCCCGTTAAGAATAAACAGGTTTTAATTATTTTAATAGAATATGTAGATCACATTTTGCAAAATTATATTATCAACAAAAAAAATGAATAAATTGAATTCAATATTAGATTATTAGTTAAAAATTAAAAAAAAGATAATAATCTAATAAAATCACTGCCCAAGCGAATCTAAAGCCCGTTGTTTTTCCTCTATTAGGTAATATAAGAAAACAGATACAGAAATCAACGTAAATTTCCAACTGGAATTACGCTATAATAAATAAATAAAGACAAAAATAATTAATAAATAATGGACAATTAAAAGTCAAAATAAACCTAATTTTAAAAGAAGAAGTTTCGGTCAGTTTTACTCAGTTACTCTAAAATATAAAATTATCTATGGTTAAGCTCGCGGATAGTACCACTTAGTTGTCAGCTTTGTTATTCACGATCGCGAGCCACTTTCGACATTTTCGGTACTTTACTCACGGATTTGGTAGCGATGGTGACGATTGTCATGTCAAAATATATAATTTCGTGAAAATCTGAACTTTTAGTTCTTATTTATTTTGATCATAGGAAAAGTGTAGCATGTAGCAGTCACTCTAATATAGCATTTGTGAAACTTATTACATAATATTTGCATTTTCTATTTGCCTTTGACATTGACATGTACTGGGCGACCCAAATGTTTTGATAAGACAACCCTATTTTTGTAATGACACGGAAATTGACTTTGCATTACTTACCTATGTACTACCAATAATACAAACGATATCATTTCCTATTTGTATCATTCAGGTCTGGTTCATTGTAAAATTTAAAATTTTAGTTATTCTCGTCAAAATCTGCTGTCCACCAAAAATTCGGAATGCTTTCAAAATTCCGGCTCTGAACGAACAAATCCTTTTGCTGTGCCCTCAACATCAAAAAGCAATTCAGAGCACTCTCCTGGAACATCACACGAGAATACACCTCAGCGAAATGTAATATATAATTTACCAACGCATCTGCCCAATGTTAAGATACCCACTGTGCCGCCTGACGTTTTAAACGTCAATCAGAGTGCCAGTACTTCCAAGTTGTATGACAGAGGGGAATATTCTGCTGGCAGCACTCAAGGTATATAAATCTGTATAAATAAATAACTTGTACACTATCGAAACACATCATTTCATTCAGGCCAGACTGATGCTGCTGACGGAGGTTTACATGCGTTGTTGAATCTTAATTCCCTGAACGAAAGCAGTTCAGCGAGTGATGGTCACCAGTGTAAATTTGAATCACACAACTCTGATTTCCAGTCAAAAAAGTAAATCTAAATAAGGACAAAATCACACCGGCGGATTAATTTGCAAATTTTTTTCTAGGAATAAATCATTTGATGAACTGAAGGAAAACGTATACAGGGAGGTTTGTTCCTTGATTTCGGCGAACGAAGCGCAGCCGCACTTTCTTATACAGCTGTTTCGGGATTTGCAAAAAATTGGCTCAGATTCGTTGCGCTTCAAAATACTCCAGTCAGTGCAGAACATTTTGACTCAATCACTCGCGATTCAACCCACATCAAATAGACAGGTAAATCGAGCCTTTTTAAATTTGTTGTTACGGTTACCTTGTTTCATACTTCATACATGCTTTTGTTAGGTGGATTGAATATCTAACACTAGTTTTCCAATGATAATTTCTTCATAAATTAATTCATGAAGACAGTTCACAAATAAATTTGACAATGCTTCTTCATTTTCAAAATTCACAAAGTTGAAATTTTTGCGTCAATTCGGTAATGTCGACTGTTGAAATCAAAATGTCCATGTTATTATACACCAATAGATGCGCGTATCTAATCAATTTTTTACTATTACTCTATTCGGGCTTTCACACGACTCAGAATTGTTTAAATTGTTCAGGTTCCTTTTTAAACCATTTTTTAATCATCGTTTATTTTTCTAGCTAAGGCCTGACCTACCACTTTGTTTTTCTAATTCTTGTATAATTTTTGTTTTTCTGTAGAACCGGCTTTTGCTTAAATACTAACATACCATCTAAATACTATGAGTTGGTTCAAAGACATTTTGAGGCCTCAAATGAAATGACGTAAAGAATTTCATGAATAAATTTATGAATTATTTTATAAATTTATTGTCAGTGTAAAATTGACAATTGTGATCATTTTTTTTATAGGGACGAGAAAGTGATGTGTTGGTACCTCCAGAGAGTTTCCACTTACATTCCGCTTTTTTGTCAATGCCCCCAACTGCTGCCGGGTGTGTGGTTAGTACTTTTGCAGGCTGGCATCAATGTTTGTGGTCGCTGATTGCTAATTTTAGGAGAGGGACGAGCTTTTGATTAAAAATTTCTCAAAAGAGATTTTGTCCTTTCTGGAAGTTCATGACAGCGATATTGTCAGCAGTCTTTTTTTGGGTAACTTGAAGCAGATGTTCATGGGACTAGAATCGTTTAGAGACACATTGAAAGATACAGTATTCCAGCGTCATTTCTCGAATGTTTTAGATGAAGTTCTGGAACAGTATCATGGTAAAAGGTGAGTTTATTTTGTTCCCTGGCTGTGATATAGTCGGATCAAATATTCCAGAGTGCACGATGTGCGAGGCCACTTGATTCAAACCCTCAGAGACCTTCTGCAAGGTGAACTTTCCTTCATTCATTTGATTCAGGAAGCCAACTTCGATGGTAACCTCCAACCAGAAAGGAAGGACTCGTCTCATTCGAGCATGTCCTTTAATGCAGACTCGGTGCTCTTCAGCAGCCCTGGCCCATCACAAAATGTAGAGAGTAATATACAAAACGGCGATTTAGCGGAAGCTGACCAGAGTAGAGTTGAGGAAAGTGATACAGAAGAAGTTGGCTTGTTTGAGCCCAATGAAATCGTGGTGGAGGTAAAATTGCTCATTATACATTGTTTACTCTGATAAAAATATGTTTTAGGCAAATGTTGAGGAGGTTCTAAATATCCAAGATTTTTCATCCCAAAATGAGGTAATCCTGGAATAAGTTAAACATATAAAGTACAAATATTTTTTTAGGGACTGGATCAGGTTCCTACTAGACTTTTGACCAAATCAAAATCGCGTTCAACGACTCCCATTAAGGGTAAGTTAAATTGGTATAAATATAAATTTTTATTTATGCTTATATTCAATGTTTAACTTCTTCACAAAGGGATGGTGAAGGGTAATTTTGCATTTCTTTTCAGATCGACCCACATCCTCCCAACTCGATCATCAAGAACCCTATTAGCTTGATAGTATTTATTTTATGTTGTTTTATCATAGCAATACTTGAAGTAAATAAAAACACATGATTTTAACACTTGTTATTTTTAAGAAAATACAAAAGAAACATCACCATTAATTCACCCCATAGTGCAGAAAAAATGTGTAAAATGTTAACATACAGCCTTACGGATTTATTTCTAAACATTTGCAATCAGATCTCTTCTCAAATGCGCATACTGAAAATACTATCACAATTAACATTGAGTAATGTCAAACCTTTAGGATGACTGGATCGCTTAAAAGCAAAAAAAAAATGATTTGAAATAATTTCCAGATTTTGATCCTATTTCAAGGTTTTTCAATGTTTAGGTTTTTAAATTGTTACTGATTTTCAATACAACTCATAATTGGGACAAAAGTTAGGTAGAAATCCAGTGGTAGTAACTACACCCGTGAGTTTCTCTTAATAAATCTTCTAATGAAGGTGAGTTTTCATTCTTCTCTGTCTCAGCTGTTGGTTTCCATTTGTCACTATTATTATTTTCTGAAGAACAAAATTTGAAACAGTTTACTAGAAGAACAGTAATCAATCAAATGACATATCTAGGACAAACACTATACTACTTAATTTTTGCTAACCATCTTAAATAATTGAAAATACAATTGCTAGGTTTTTGAAAACCACACTAATTATGACTAGTTATTATAAGGTACAAAAAAATATTAGTCACTGAACATATCATAAAATACTATCTAGTGCATTGTCAACAATACAACTACAAAGTTAATCTAATACCAACTTCGAAGGAAATGTTTGAAAAGAACTTTTGCGTTTCATAAAACACTAATATATCAAATCTTATAAATCTTAATATTTGAATGGAATCTTTAGTTAAGTCTGATATCCAAAATTAAATATTCATATAGTTTAAATTGTGTACTTCAGCTAAATCACCTGCCCTCAGAGCATAAAGTGGACCACCATTGAATATAAAACATTTCCTTTAAAGCTTCATAAATTGCTTGAGAGAAAATTTCTTACTAGATTCAATAATCTTTAAGAAATACAATAGCCCACCATGCACATTGACAAATCAGGGATATTGTGCGTTGGCCTTCTTAAGTGAAGATTTTTCGAAATGTTGCCAATGGTACTTTCCGCATCTACAATTAAACCATCTTGTAAATTTACTCATTTTATTCTATTGAGCCATCTTTTTATAGAACATGCCTCATCAACCTTTAAACCATTATAAATAGAATAATTTTTACGAGTTTTCGCCGATTATAGGAAGACATGTGTGCAAAACTAATTATACTTTCATTTGCTAAACTCAAAATTTAAGACGCTGTTGCGATAAATGTATGGGCCAAACTTACCATTCTCCCGCCTTTTTTTAGACATGAATGAATAGGAATTTTCCGCTGCACGTTTTCTGTTTGGCAATCTCGGGGGCTCATTTTCGCCATAGCTGAACGATGTATCCATATAAGTCGGCCCGTTTAGAGATTCGGGGCCACATTTTAAACCATTAACAAAATGAATTGTGGGTTGGTAACCATAATAAGCACTCGAAGATACATTCGTAAAAATAGGTTTATCTTCTGGAACTTTCATCTGCTCTTTGGAAATCTCAAAATACGTCAGGAATTCCCTCATTTTTGGTGGTTAACTAATCAAACTAAATTAATCAATCAAAATGAAGTTGAAATGAGTATGCAGCATCTACCAAATACTACAGAATTAGCTTCTTCTTCTTTACTCTTCAATTCGAATGTAGTGAAAAAACCGCCAATACCGGCTTGGAGGAAAACAACAGCGAAACCATGATAACAAAATACAGCGTTGGTTTTGCGCGAGATTTACAAAAACAATTATGCCGATATGTTTACATGATTAGAATGAAGTAAGCGAATGACCTTAGCAGTCGGCCTCAATGATGGAGAAAATGGCGGAAAATTATTGTTCCATGAGGTTTTTGTAGTCAGTGGTTGTTAAGTTTTTGTGGTGCGACTTATTTAAAAAATAATGTTATGTTTATAACCTTTTAAAATGGATTTTTTACGCAATGTTGATAAAACATTATTTCCAATTAAAAACATTAGTTCGGTTGTCAAGCTGTTTCGAAACCAGTTAGAGGGTTGTGACGAACCGGATTTAACTTTATTGTCCATTGCGGCCGGCTTCATTGAAAATCAGCTTACCAGCAGATCAGTTTCTCAAATTTCTGCCCAGTCCAACGATGCAACGGAAAAAAATGTTTTACCAATTTTTGAGTTAGAAACGGTCGAATCTCTTTATAATAAATTTAACTTAATTATCACAAGTGCAATAGAGCCAAATAAGACCAAGTCTTATGCTACTCGAGAGTTGGTTAAGAAAGTTTCAGACATAATTTGGAATTCTTTAACACGTAGTTATTATAGTGATAAGGCTCACTTGCAAAGCTTATACAGCTATTTGACAGGCAACAAATTAGATTGCTTTGGGGTTGCATTTGCAGTTGTAGCTGGTTGTCAAACTTTGGGTTATGGTGATGTTCACTTGGCTTTATCAGAAGATCATGCTTGGGTCGTTTTTGGTCCAGACTTATTAGAAACAATTGAAGTGACTTGGCATGGAAAAGGAAATGAAGACAAAAGAGGACAGACAATTGATAAGGGTACTTCAATTAGGTCTTGGCTGTATGTAAACAACAGACCTGTAATTTGCACCAGGCATATGGAAGTGGCTGCTCTTGTCTCTGCGATAAACCCCTCTCTAAACTCTACTAGTGATGCTGTCGAAGTTGCCTTGTTAAAACAGGAACTTCTGTGGCTTTTATATGACTTAGGATGCTTAAAAAAGTATCCAATGGCTATTGGCAACTTGGGAGATCTAGAAGAAATTTCTCCTAAAAGACCTGAAATTACATGTAAAAAACTTTTTGATGAAGCAATAGAATCTGCCAGAAAATACTACAACAATCAACATGTGTATCCGTACATATATCAAGGCAGCTTCTTCTATCGCAATAAGATGTACAAGGAAGCACTTGGAAGTTGGGCGAATGCAAGTGATGTTATTAGGCAGTAAGTTTTATATATGGCACAATTTACAACCTTCCGAAATGGAGTAGTCAACCAAAAACTTCATAAGGATGAAAGATCTCCACCTCTATGTCAATTTCCAAAACTCAATTACAAGGTGTATTATTTTTGACATTTTAGATATAATTACTCAAGAGATGATGAGGATATTTATAAGGAGTTTTTTGAAATTTCCAATGAACTCATTCCCTTTGTGATAAAATTGGAGGGTTCAAATATTGAGACCAGTACCATTTTAAGGAACCCCGAAAGCTTTGCTAATTTGTTGAGGTTTTATGATGGCATTTGTCAATGGGAGGAAGGAAGTGCTACTCCAGTACTGCATATTGGTTGGGCAAAACCCTTGGTAAATACAATTTCAAAATTTGAGGCTGATATAAGAGCACAAGTAAGTTTTGTCAATTAATACTTGTAACTATAATTAGTTGAATTATTAATTAATACTTCTTCAGGTAAATATTGTTGTTGAATTTGGGGATAAGCACAACATTCTAATGTTTAATAATAACAATAATTATGAAGAAGAAAATGATTCTTGTGATAAAGCTGACAAAGAAAAATCTGATTCAATCTCTTACTCTTCTTTGGAAGATCTAACTGCTGCATGTTCAAAAAAAATTCTTAATCCTGATTATTTGTTACAAGGTGACGGAGCTCTTTTTGTAGGTAAGTAAACTTCCATTTCTCCAAAATACTTAATTTTGATATTCTCTTTAAATTTCAGGTGGTAGTGGAGTTAAAAGTTCAGATGCTAATGATACATGCGATAAGGAAGAGAATGGCTCGCAGAGTACTTCCAAATCTCCAGTGTTTGAAACTAAGTTAAGGGAGGTGAATTCATTGGTACTCCTACGTAGCCACAAAATGAAAGGTTTGAAAGACCTTCTACTTGCGGAAAAGTTGAATACCCAGGCTATCCTGCTACATTTGACAGCACAGTCTCAGGTAGGACTCTATTTATTTTGATAATTTGTACAGTACATATTTTTGGCACAGGTGCAGATTGGTAAGGTACACAGAAATGATATTGATTCAACCCGACCAAAAAGAGTGAAAAGGGAGTGAGTGAAAACATAATCTTTAAGTGAGTGTCTAGTAATGATTGAGTTTCTGTATGGAACTTATCCTGCTCTTTTAGGAAGAATTTTGCCAATCATAGATATGAAAATAGAACTAGAACTTTTCTGTCAGTATTTCAGCTGCCACATTTTTATTTTCACAACATGCACTTTCAAATGGCTGCATTGCAGTGCCTTTTATCTGCAAATTAGTACTTAGTATTACACTACTTCAAAGGAAAATTGTTTTAATGCTTTTTTTAATAGTATTACATCTGATTGAAGGTGGAATATGTTAATATAAATAATATATTGATCTCCAGGGTAAGTAACTACAAATAATCAAAATTTAGCTAATTAGTGTTTAAGTTTGTTTTGACATGTTATAACAATTTTTTTCCATTACTACTATTGGTTTTGTTAGCTGTAAGTTCTAATAGGGATTAGGTGCAACTTGTTTGAAACCAATCATCAATATTGCAGCAAATGTTAATGTTCGATAAGAGTATTTTCTTTAAGTTTTGGTCCTTTTTGCGCCAAACTTCTTACAGCACTGGCAATTCGGTTACATTCAATTTTTGTGCGCCGTTTCCACCTAAACTATAAATTAAATTAATATTTGCATGTATGATTATTGTAATCAATAGTTGGCATATTCTTTAATGCTAAAATTAGTTTCATGTTATATAGTACGATATTTAATAGAACCTGTTGTTGCTGTTGTAACTATTCTTCATTGCGTTCTCGTACAAATTAGGTATAGTTAAATTATAATTCCGTTACTTGTATAGATTCGTGAAAAGCTTTAACGCTCTGCATGATTAATGCATAATAGGCGTAAAAAAATACTAATTTAAAAAAATATATAAGTTTAGTTTAGATAATTTATTGATGAATATTGTTATTCGATCATATAATTGTATCTTGCAATTAAATTACCGATGTTTTTCTTAATATGATTGATAATGATTCTGGACTGAAATTATAACCTTGGCGTTAGATTGACAATACTTATCCATTTTCCGATTCCGTTTTTATGCATTCCGATAAGTTTTTGTTTCTTTAATGGTTTTAGGATAATTGTTAAATTATATTAATTAAGAGAGTATTAAAATGGTTGTATTCAAACTGATGATTTTTAATGTATCAAATGTATTTATTTTTTCAGCCAATTACCGTTTTTTCATTTAATTCAGTTTTTACATATATCTTTTAAATCTTTACTTGTAATCGATAAGGTGTAATAACTTTTCCAATTTTGGTACATTTTTTTATTGTTTTTGGTTTGACATTAAACAATTACATAACAGTCACAGCTTAACGACATCTTTTTGACATGTAGAGAATCTCTTAACATTTACGGAACATTGAACAGAATATCCAAGTAAGATCCTTCCCGTCGCATCGACACTTTATATGTATTACCATCAGTTACCAATTGAGGTTCAAAGATGTAGCAACTTCTTTTGAAATGAAAACTATCTGCAAAAAGAAAAATGCAAATTGTTTTTTGGGTACTAAATTTTATGCTACAATTATTGGATTTGTGGGATAATTGGTTTAGCTAGATATTAATTGAAAACGAAATTTTTTCTTTACATTTACATTTTTTACTGATATTGAGACTTCTTGCTCTGTGTGCTTACCAGGGCAGCATGTAAATAAAAATGTTTTATTAAATAAATCAACTGAATTTGGAAGATCCTCAACATACAAAGTTTAACTTACCTAGACTCGAAAAGGTAACGTCTTCATAAAAGATGATATCAAACCAAGTCAATAAACCATTCACTTGCCCATCTTTGGTGACCGTAATAAATTCGCTCTTTGTAAGGTTTTTCTCGTCTATTAAAAAGGTTATTGGTTCAGAATATTTAGTGTATTCGAAATTATCGAGATTGGGATGTTCAGTGCCCTAAAAAAATATTTTTTGCCCTAATCTATCAAAAACGAAGTTTTCATTGCTCACCATATACTGATTGACGTACTGCGCTATCTTGAAATCAAAAACATTTTCATCTTTCACCATATTCCAGTATTCGAGATACCAAGAGTTTATGAGGATCGCATTCACTTTCAACGTTTTCGGCAACATGATAGTGTTGAATAATGGAGCATTTTTTTCCTTAAAACATATCAAAAGTAATCAAAAAGTAGTCGAAACAATTAGTCTTACTTTGAATAAAATACTTTGTTGAAGTGATCCGTCGCTGCTTATTGGATCTATCAGACAAAATTGGCACTTTGTTAAATATTCAAAAACCACACACATTGCTGTGTTGCAAGTTAATTTTTCTTCCAGTACTATCATTTGACCCTTGACATCGTTTGTCTTCAAAACATGGTCAAAAAAATCAATATTCTGCATACTGTTGTCATGTTTGAGGGCTGTGTAAAACTTGGAACCTCTTTTGGCCATTAGGAAACCAAACAAGGGAAAGCAGTTTAAATCCATCACCTAGGAGTAGGGCTTAATTCATTCGAAAATAACAGGGTTTAAGCTCTGGTAAATGATGTGTGTAAATAATCCCCTACGACCTCAACCGAGGAAATGTGGAACAAGTTATTACTATTGCTAAATGATTTTCACTTGTTTATAAAAAAGACCCGAAATACTTACTGGCACTGTATCTGTAAATTTCATAGATAATTCGATAAATTTTCTTACAACCAAGTCATCGTTCAAAAATGTGATGATATCTTTGGTAACCAGCCAACACGAAACACAGACATCTGGTTTGGTGATCTGATAGAACTTCAACTGACTATCGAAAACTGTAACTTCAAATTGGATAACTTCCCCTGTTTTTACAGAAATCGTGTGAGGCAAATGGAAAACAGCTTGTTCCCAACATAAAATACGGTCTTTACTTAGTGGATTTGTTGTTATTGTAATATTTTCATCCAAATCCAGTTCGAACCACACAGCTAGTGCTGTTAATTGTCCATCTTTAAGGCACCTTATCTGAAGTAATGAAAAATGTACACTACTCTTTTATAGCAAACTGTAGTTGTTACACCTAAGCATAAAAATATTTTATTTATCGTGATTCTAAACTATCAAACAATTTCGTCCTATAAGTATCTTACTTTTATTATAGTAGAAAAATTCTTATTGGTCAACATGTCATTCAGCTGGCCTACATCATAAAAATCAATGTCAAAAATTTTTGCTGCTTCCGATATGTACTCAACATCCTTGACAGATAGATCTTCTGCTTCGTAGGGATCAGGATCAACTTGCCTTATACAAATATCTGTCAAATTAAGTTCTGCTATTTTATTAACATAACGGAAGTTTTGAAGACTTCTATAATCTATCCCTAAAGACAACAATTAGGAAATGTTCATTAAAAGTAAATCACAAATCAATGTTACCCATTGCAAATAACCTGGCTGCACATGGTATAATCTTAAACGATTTTTCAGTGACTAAAACTTGATGTGCATGTATTAAACTTTCCAACATTCGTTCACCAAACAGAGCAACATCAAATATTTCCGTCACCTGTGATTAGAAAAAAAGTAAAGATACTTATTCTGTAATAAGCTGAGAACTTTGCAAACTTACAATTAAATTACAAGATCCATATGGTTCTGTAAGTTTGGTAGAATTGCAATTCAACACCTTTACATTCACTCTTTCATTTTCCTTTAAAACATCTTCACACATTTTTGCCAAAAATTTGTTCTCTTCGATTGCTATAACATTTACCTCAGAATTTTGGGAAGCAAATAAACTTAACAAACCACAACCGGCTCCAACATCAATGACATTGGTAAATCCTGAAAAAAATTGCAACTTAAACCGGCAAGCAAATTGCAAATAATGATTGAATTACCTTTATCAATAACATTTGTCACTGCTTTGTAATATGCCATATTTCTGTTTTTGTCATTTAACATCTTAAAATGCCAGCGAGGCATCTGTTCCCATTTACATTGCATCAAATTTTTTTGAGCAGGTAAGTAATTTTTGCTACAATTAACTGCCATATCCAAATATCTCCTTGCAATGTTTGTTTCACCAATTCTTAAAAGTAATTACTATTTTACATAAGAAATGATAATGAAACCAATTATGATTTCCATGTAGGCACAAAATAACTTACTTAAAAAGATAAGCTCCCAAATTGTTTAAAATAACATAGTTGTTTGGGAAAAAATTAAGAGCTTGCAAATAAACTTTAAACAATTCTTCAGTGTTATCTGCATCTTCTAGAACCACTCCAATTTTGCAAACCAATTTTGTAAATGCCAGTTGAACTGCAGCTGTGGCCTCTGAGGGATCTGATAAGCTTTCGAAATAATTGACGAAATTTTTATAAGCTTCAGGATAGTTATTATCAGCGCAATTTTGCTTCGCTTTGCGTAAGTAGAATCCGCTACTCATTTTACAGGATTTCAGTGACAAATTTGATAAAATTAATGGTACCCTTGATTCTGAAGAACATAACATACCAACCACTATAACCTATTTTCCTCAAAAATATTTTTTCTGACACATTCCCTTCAAATACTCTTTGTTCCAAAATGTTGTGAAATGCAAAAGTAAACGAATACAAATTTTTAGGTTATATGGACATAAAATCGATATTGCAGAATTGGTTAGTTTAATCGTTTGGGAGATAATTAAAACACAGACAGGACATTATGAGACCAGCGATGTCAGCTGCCCTTGAAGATTTGAAGTTTGAACATATAGGAGAAATAGGGGCGCTGCTTCTGCTGATAATACAGGAACTTATGAAACAACTATGAAAAACATTTTGAGAAAGTCCATTCAACATGCGCATGCGCGATATTTTAAATTTCGTTTTAACTAATGAGTTAAGTGTGTGGAAAGAAAGAAAATGGCGTGTAGGTTAGTGAATGAAGTTGAGAGGCATGCGCGGAAGATCATTTCCATCTCTAGCAAATGTCAAACCCACTTGAGGCGCATCAATTTTTACGGTACTAGGGTCACTGTATTATCTAATAATTATTTAAGTTTGAATCTCAGGATTTAAGATCCAAAACACTAAAGGTGGGTTTGGCTGACAAAGTCGTGAGATTATTGTAATAAAAAATATTAATTAATAAGAGCTAACAAAATTTTGCTAGGTTGGCAAAACTTATCAGGTACTTTATTCTCCATGATAAATTTGAACAAAAAACAAGGAGAGTTAGAATTCTGTGGTTCTCTGTTTTGTAGGTGCAAATTTTTGTAGGTTAATTCGGTAGGTTATTTTTGATAAAAATGCCCAAAAAGAAAACAGGTCAACGAAAAAAAGCCGAAAAACAGAAACTTCGGCAAAAACAAATTCGTACGGCTAAAGAAAACGTCCAACTTGCGCAACATCCTTGTAACGCTTCAATGGAGTGTGAAAAATGCCAGAGGTAAATAGTTGGTTTTTATGGTGGTTTGGTGTCTTACAGATAATGTGTTTAAAAGTATAGCATTGTAAAGGTAACTGTGTAAGTTTTGGTCAAACTTATTCTAGGAAACAAAAGAACAGAGCCTTCTGTTACTTTTGCCAGAGCGTTCAAAGATTACCTGCATGTGCTCATTGTGGGAAGATAAAATGCATGCTGAAAACAGGAGATTGCGTTGTAAAGCATCCCCTTGTATTTACTTCTGGGCTTGCAATGGTGGTAAGTCGGAATAATTCTTGCGAGTATCCCATAATTTGGGTAAAAAATTTAGGGGGCCATTTGTGATTTTTGTGAAGCCTGGATATGCCATGGGAAGAAATGTCTTCAAACTCATGCATGTGTATGTCCACTGCAAGATGCGATATGTCTTGAATGTGAGAGGGGTGTGTGGGATCATGGGGGTAGAATATTTAAATGTTCTTTCTGCGATGGTTACTTGTGTGAAGATGATCAGTTTGAACATCAAGCTTCATGTCAAGTTCTTGAATCTGAGAATTACAAGTGTAAGTTTTTCTGTGGTGGATATGTAGTTAACAATTTCACATTCTTTAATATTTTGTAGGTCAGTCCTGTAATAAACTGGGCCAATATTCTTGTTTAAGATGTAAGACTTGTTATTGTGAGGATCATGTCCGAAGGAAAGGTTTTAAATATGACAAAAATAAAGCATTGCCTTGTCCAAAATGTGGTTATGAAACCTCCCAAACAAAAGATCTTAGCATGTCCAGTAAGTATTAAACATAAGTTGAATAGGAAAAGTGGTTGCATAAGCAACCATAATTTTTTAGCTAGAGGTCACAAGTTTGGAAGACAAGGCCATACAACTTTTGATGATTATGATAATGATGAAACAGAATACTATGATAATGATTATGCTTATACTGAAGAGGATATTGATGAAGAAGATTCTGACGAAGATGAGGAAAGTGACAGTGAAGATGAAGAAGAAGGAGATGAAGCTGAAGAAAAACCAAATTCTTTGAGTTAGTGATTATTTGTTATATTTTATTTTACACAAAATGTTAATAAAATATCACATAAAATACCAACACTTTATTCAGTATATTTTTCTGAATGAAAAAGCAATAACAATTTAGTTTATAAGTGCCAGAGAGATTATGGATTTGATGCTGAAGGGGTTTTATTGACCATAGTAAAGAGCATGTGAAATTAAAAGTATGTAACAACAAATAATTACAAGTAGGTTGATGAACAAAATTAATTTTAAAAAATAAATGTAAGAGAAGGTGACCAACTTCGAGACAGATGAATCCATGCCCACCCACCCCGTTACCTCTTATAAAAATAAAAAAACATTTTATTTTATTTAATGCTTAATGATTTTTTAAAACCAGCTATTGTTTAAAAGAATTACTTATTTTAGTTATATACTTATACTTGCATACATACATACATACTTTAAGAGCAACATCATTTTTTTAAAAAGACTCCAAACAGCTTAAATTCCCGTTGCACCTTGTAATCGTGGCTGATTTCAAAGCGCTCACATGAAGTTCGACCTTTTTCGCTACTCCAAAAGTTGTTTATAATTGAAAACACTCTTCCTATGCATTGGTAAAGTCTGTTCATAGATATAAGAAAGTGGCTAACTGATACGAATTAAGGAAAGAGCCGGGCAAGCTGTAAGAATGAAATATGGCCGAACAGATCCGTACTTTGCTTAGAATTTAATTATTTGGGGTTTTGTTAGGAAAGATACTAAACAGTATTTATTTATTTATGTATTTATGTTTAAATCTAAAATAAAATTACAAATTATTTTTATTACCTGTTTAAATCACTTAAAATTATTCACGTAGTATATCATTATTACTATCGCTATCATGGCTTGTTCTAATTATTATTTTTTCTATATTATTTGCAATATGGATATACGATTGTTCTGCTTTTTCTATATGTTTAACACAATTTGCCCAACTTTGTGGGGCGATGTTAAAAACTTCGGTTTCTATAAGTTTGAGGACATTGGAGGTAACACGGGGAAAAACAGGAAGGGGTTTTAGTCAATTGTCACGGTAAAAAGTGATGCGCCGCAGGCGGCTATGATATTCTCGTAGAGAAGGTGTGGATCTTTTGCGCATGCGTCACCCCCAACTAGCTGAGTTGTCATATTTCCGTAATTTTTCTGAAGAAATGGACTAATTTTCATAAGAACGCAAAAACGGTCTCTGAAATCTGAATATAATTGCCAACGCCGAGCTAGGATTTGCTATTGCCAGAGAATACTAACAGGCTCTGACATTGTTGTTTATCGTTGTTTGGCGGTTAGGATTTTCTTTCGTAGGAAAAAAATAAGCCTGTATACGCGTAAATGTTGCCTTATGTACAAGTTAATTTAAAAGATTTAAAAGCGGTTTCTATAGGACTCGCACTCACAAACTTGTATAATTTGTGCTTTCCATACTTGCTCCTTCACGAAATTACAAGTGTGGCAAATATGAGGACCTAATGGCATCTCAGACAAACCCGAGTGATTTATCAAACTGCAAGGTACACTTAAATAGCTACATAGGAAAGATGTTTGGGGAATATAGAACAATACAGAATACAGAACAATCACAAGAAATATTCCTTGATAATTACAAATCCTTGTAAATCTCAACGCGGGGAAGTTTTCATTTGTCATCATCATGCTTAGTGAAAACGAAATTGCCTTTCGGTTGGTCAATTACAGAAATTATTACCGCAGAAAGTGGGGAATTACCAGAATCAGTTCAGCTGCAACAGGAAGAACTTAAATGATACATCTGCAGGATATTTTTGGGAAGCCTGAACGCATTACATAAAATCTTTGAGAATTGCCAAGTTATGGGAGTGATCCATGTTCTCTATTTCATTTTTTTTTGTACACTTGCACATATTTCTGTTTCTTACTTTTGATATAATAATCACTTATGCAGGCAGTGTCATTCAATTTACATTTTATTTTTTAGTTTACCAAAAGATGAAATTGTAAGGGAACAATAGATAACATTGCTTGTCAAGTCATTCTATTCGCGATTTGGTACTTAACAGCCCATATTTAAAGTGTCGAATGGTACCATTTTTTTTCTAACCAGACTGATAAAATTTATCAAATATTTAATCTTTAGTGGTAGTCAAAACAACATTACAAGTTATAGAGAAGCCTGGCACAGAATAACCAGCTGTCATCAGTTTTTAAAAAGAACATAAAGCGCAGTAACATATTGTCAACAAGTGCCTCTGATTTCAATTTTGTTTTGAATTTAGAGTTAATGAAATTTGTGCTGTAGTTATTCTACTATTAATTAACAATATTTTATTGTATTATAAATAAACATTTTTTTATTTGTTTCATATTCTTTTTAGCAATTTTTAAATCAAGTAATATAAAAGCTCCTTGAAAAATAATAATAAATATTATGGTATTAGAAAAATGCAGCATATATTTTTATGTAATATCTTATTCTAGTTATAAGCAACAATATATTTTGTTTTCAATATATATCAAATAATCCATGTGTTTATTTATACTAACCAAAGCAAATAAATAAAACACTATATAAAATGCTATTATAATTAAAGTCCTAGTTGTGGCATAAACCACAATCTTGTCTGCAAAACCAAACTGGAGAGTGCATCTGGAAAAACATATTTCTTAATAGAATGTTTCATGACAGCTTAAACTTTTAAAAAAATCCCGAGCATTTCTGGAACAGTAATTTTTAGTTATTTACCTTTGAATCCAAATCGCAATAAAATATAGCTAAATTATTATGTCAATTGATACTCGTATCTAAAGCCCGGTAGGCACAATGCAATTTCTACATGTATTTTTAGCATTTAACGATTGCTGTCAAATATTTTTAACGGGGAATTTTTTGCGGTAGCCGCCATGCAATTTTTGCTAGAAAAATGTTTTTTAACTTTTGAGACAATAAACTACACGTTTTAGGGCTGGGTACTGTTAATTCTGTCACATTTAGGGCTAATTGCTTATTGACTTGTTTTGTACTAGTTTTTATTTTTCTTGGTTACATTTTTCAGTATCAGTTCAAATGAACCATTTTGGAAATATTTTTTTTTGTAGGAAACATTCTGAGTTTTATCAACTGGATATTGCTATGTCCAGACAGTTTTTAGGTTATTTCCTTTCGGGATATTTGTAAACATTTCATATCAGAAGCTCTTTATACTTGTTAGTCAAGTCGAGGTGCGATCGATACAATAATCAAGATAGTTCAGAAACTATTAAATATAGGTATAGGTAAACTCCGGAAGGAGTTTAAAGGTGGTTTAATCTGATTGGATATTGTGGCTTTGAGTTGTTCCGCTCTATACCGAAGTGCGGTAATAAAATGAAATGGTTGTAAGCGTTATACAATATATTTCGGTAAACCAAAATCAAAATCAGCGTCGATTATCGGGCTCAACGCAGGCACCTGTCAATATAATTTCTATCTATAATTTGTATTTGTTACACTAATATTATCATATCTTATCAATTTCGTATAAATGTGTGCGAGCGAAAGATCACCTGGCACAGATTGGAAGGTTCGCTAACGCGAGGACGTGTACGACTTCTAACTCTCTGTCAGCTGCAAGAATTTTGCGCTTCGGTTTAGTCAAATTAGCGGTATTGTCGGTCAAACTTTTGAAAATTAACTGGATACCATTGCTTGGTTTCCGAAATGGCTACTGGACACGGTTACGATCAGGACTGTCCGCCGTATGACGTGACATGGCATATTATACCGCCAGACTATGTCCACTTGGAAGACGAATACAGGTATTCGTAAGTATTATCATTTTACAGTCGGTGCGCCATGTTTAGTATTCAAATCTAAATGTATTTTGTTTGGTTGCGGTTGGTAGCTGTTAAGCTGCGTTTCCACTGGATGAACTTTTAATATGGCTGTCGCGTTTATGTTTCTGTAATAGCAGAATGTAACTGTAACTACTATCGATAAACCCTAACAACGCACAAATGAAATTTTCATTTTTTTTATTTTCAAACATGTCACTCCTATTTTCATCCAAAAAGTAAGCAGGGAAAACAATATATAGCATTTTTTACTATATCCACACATCCATTCTTTTTTGAGGAAATTTCCGTGTATAACTTTTTTCTCTACTTACATCAGTTCTGAATGGTAATTTTTCATTTCATCATTCATCGTATGGATATTTAAAAAATCTCTCCACATTCATTAAATTAAAGACTACCTCATAGTTCACAGTTAATATACCCTATTATTATTGTTTTTAAGTTCAACACGCTGCCCCGCGGGGGTGGAGGTGTGGTGCGCGGGTATTTGACAGAGCGCTGAGAGCACGTTTGTGCGGCCTAGCTGAAAAACCACTCGGCCACATCGACAGTGCGATTATGGATTGGTTATTCCACTGGTCGATTTTACCTACGCGTTCGGCCGCATTTTCATTGCAGTTTATATTTTGAATTTTATTGTTGACAATTTAATTATGATTTTTTTCTGTAAGTTTTTTATTTTTTGGGAGGTCTGCAGCGTTGCAGCGTATATGCACCACCTACTCCTGTCGCACACCAATTACCTGGTTTCATTTTTAGATTCTATGAAAAATGAACTTTGAAATAAAACTTTCGCATTTTTTTGGGCAATTTCGGCAATTGAATAAACGTGTTATTCAAGTTTTCAAGTTATTCAAATCAAGAACATAAAAAAGTGCCATCTATAATTATTATTTCTAAATTTAGTTGTTTCTCGGTTGCTGTACAAACAAGTAGAAACGCTGAAATTTCCTTTTCCATATTTTTGATAAATAAATAGATACTTATTTCCTAAATTTCATTTCACAATTTTAAAAAGAGACATTTCAAATGTATTAGAATCGCGTTTTGGAACTTTCCATTTGCGTTTTGTGAAAGAATTTGCTATACCCATTTCGCTTTTTTCCTTTTTCTCACCTCGCCTACACTAAACTATTTACTATACAGTGTAATATTTACTGCACGGCAAATAAACCGTGTAAAGTTCGGGACACCTGAAGGGCTCCCAAGTTTCAGGTAACAATAAATGAATTGACTGACCAGACAGTTTGCCGCCTAAAAACATCAATGGGACTTTCCGATGTGGCCAAACCGGAAATATAAAATATATTTTGTATTTTGGGTTTTGGATTTAAATTTAAGTGGAGGGGATTTAAATATTTTGCTACAATATAATTAAATAAGAAAAGAAAATTGAAGGGCACATACAAAAATATGAAAAAAAAAAAATCATACAAACATGAGATGTATAGGTTTGCATAATATTTTTCTGTGTACCAAAACTCATCTCAATATCTCAACACGTTTTCGGAAAATTTCAAATAACGTATGTTTATATGAACTTTTATTCATAGTTCTAGATGTGTCCTTTAAATCTCTTAAGAACAAGGCTCTGTATATGGTTCGCTAAAGGTCACGTTAGTACGTGTAAAAATGTTTTCTAAAATAAACTTGCATGGCGCTGGACGGTTTAAAGGAAAAAAAAATTATGTCACTGGTTTGAGAAAAAATAGTGGCATTTTTTGAAAATTATATAACTGCTTATAAAGTGGCTGTTAAAACAAAGCATTTTGATAGTTCTAGACAGGATTCCAAAAGATAAATTGTTTCACTGGTTTATGGATTGGTAATTTCTAAAAAACTGTAGATACAGTTTCACTTCTAAAAGTTCTCAATTGTGATTATTGTGAAAATTTCGGCATTTAAATTAGGGATTTCATACGTTAGCGAATTTAATCATTCGTTTATTAAGCACAGACTTATTATTTATTGTTAGTAAACGAGCGACTGGACGAAGTTTTTGAAGGTGCTGCATACTTTCCAAAACCATTAGTTTTTGTGATGTGGAAACAGAATTAGAACCCTACTCTGCTTGATTTTAATATTTAGTCCTCACACAGCAGGGAATATTTCACGATATGCTATATACCTCAACACAAGATGGCTACGGGGACTAATGCCATCGTTAATCTTAAGGAACGAGGGGGAATTCCAAAGTGCTTATAATAAGTGGCAATAAAATACAAGGTACACAATGGTATTTAATTGTTATATTCATTGATTAAAGAGTAGCCTTTGGGAGTACCTAGTGTGTATAATGTTAAAGTGGAGAATTTTCAGAAGAGAATAGAATATAATTTTGGAAGGTTATATGCGTACAATGTTAGCTTGATTCGTGTTAAATATACTTTGACATTTTACCATGAATCGACTGATTAATCGGCAAAGTGTAGTTATTTTACGAAGGTACTATCGGTTAGAGCATGTGCTCTTCGAGAAGATATTAGTCAATATGGACGACCTCGATCGCTATCAAGCGCACGATTGCCAAGTTTGAACGGGATTACACTTTACTGGATAGCAAGCCACCGACAAAACGAAGAACTGCAAGGAGTGCTGAAAATATCGCTGCCCTAAGGGAATGCGTGAACGCAAATGCAATACTCAGCAACTGGGATTTACGTCAAGGTGAAGTATTTTCAAAAAAGGTTTGGACCTACATCTATATAAGATGTTCCTAACTCAAGAGCTGAAGCCTCCCGACCATGGTTTGCATAGAACGATTAGGGATTGGGCATTTTTGGATAAAATGTTGATTTTGATAAACAAACAATCTTTTCAGATGAGGACCATTTTTGATTTAATGGCTTTGTGAATAATCAAAATTGCCGTTTTTTTCGTGAGAACAATCCCCAGCAACTGCTGGAAAGGCCATTACATCCGGTGTGGTTTGTGGTTTGCTTTTTGAGGATGTAGATGGGTATCTGGAATAGTGAATGCAAAGATGATAAGGCTCTTTGGCCTGCAATAGTTGCTGGAGAGGTGGAAGAGAAATGGTCGCAATAGTACGGTGCCACATCGCACACTGGCCGCCAGATCTTGTGACCTTACTCCTTTGGACATTTTTCTGTGGAGTATAGGGTCTTTGGTATATACTAACAATCTTCAAAGCAGCGGCGACGTAAAAACTAACATCGAACGAGTTATTCACAAAACTTTTTGAAAAAGTCACGTCTGCCGCCAAAACGTAATGTTATGATAGCTACAAAATACAAAAAAAAATCAAAGAAATATATTAGTTTTGGTTAGTTTGTTAGTTATTTTTATTTTATAGCACTTTGAAATTACACCATTTTTATTGGTAGACCCTTTAAGTTGTTTGGCTACAGAAAATTTTGATTTGTTAACTTCCGCATACCTACTTCTCCACAATGGATTTTTGTTATTCGGGTCATCGAGTCCATGGAAAACAATCCTTAACCAACGAATGAATTTTTCTCTTTCCAACTTAAATATGTTACAAGCGATTATGATAAAACCAGTTTATTGTGAAAAATGACTATACCTAACATTTCATATAGCTACTAGAGATACAAAGACCTTTCCTGTGGCGGATAATACAGCAACTTATGAAGCAAATACAAATTTTGTTTTGAGAAGAGAACCAAAGACGCTGGCGATATTACTACGACAGATTTTTTTGAAAATATACCTGGATCTCGTTAACTAATCTGGAAAAACGACTTGACTTTTTTTCATAGTTGTTTCAAAAATTGTAAATTGAAATTGTAAAAAGTCGAATTTACTCACCCTGTACAAGAAAAATAGGGCGATCTGTTAAAATATCGACTATTTCCATATTTCGCGATGTTAATTTGATCAGGATAACTCTGGTGGTCTAGTGTATCAAAACGTTTTTGTTTCCAAATTGGCAAATTTTAATAGGTGTATATACATATATTGCTTTCTGTAATGAGTTTTCACTTTTCAATTTTAAAATTATGACGCGTTTTCGTTTTCGCACTGACGTATTAATTTTAAAACGAAGTTGTGTATAGTGTTCTTCATCCCCGTTACGCGTGTAACCATAAACTTAGTCCCCATAACTAAGCCCGAATTTTAATTACCTACAAACACGACTTCTTTGTGTTCGATTATCTAAAAACGCGAGATTCTTTGTTCCGTCGAAAATCCCGTTTAGGCCACTTACTCGCAGGGGTGCGCCATTCGGCTCTATTTTTGAGAGCCGCCGTTCCATTGGCCTCGCCGCACCACGCCTACCTGTTCCGAGTGCCTATTGGCTGCAGTGAGAGCACTGGAAAGAGCCCTTGACATAAGGGTGGATCTCTAAGGCACTTCAGTGCCTTTCGATGACTCTCCAAGTGTTCGCGTGTCACCGCTCTTCAATTTGAATTTTTTTTTCAAAGTGGACCCGATCGCGAACACTCTTCTTCTCCAAAGACGCTTAATCTGACATTTCGCGTTTCGTATTTAACCGGGAGTTATAGAGCGAAGCGACCGCCAGTTAAACGCTTCCGAGTTATAGTTCGAGTAATCAAAAGTGGCTGAGAAAACAAAAACAGAGTCTAACGACTCTGATAACGACAAAGTGTTGCCGTTGAAAATGCCGCCGTCCTCAAACGCGGATAGCAGCCAAGCGGCTTCGAGCGTGATGACGTCTTCGACGGCCGCGGCGGCCGCGTTGCTCGCTTGGCCACCTTTGTTACTACATCCGTGGGCCCCCGCCCTGCTACCGGGGGCTTGGTGTTCCAGCGCGGCCATCAGGTCTGCCTTACCGGGGTTAGTTCATTGTACGGTTAATTCCCCACAAGCACCCAATTTTTTAAAATATTTTCAGGTCAATTTAATACCGCACTTTGTTAAAAAAAATCTGTAGTGTCAAAACGACCAATATGTTATTTCTTAATTCAAGTTTTCAGAAACAGTTGAAAGGTTTTGAAGGATTAAAATCTCTAACATTCTAAAATTCAAGGAGCAGTTTATAACATATTGTCGGAATTATACCCATTTGTAATGACGTCATTTTGTTGCCAAAAAGTGTGTTTGCTGCTAATTACAAATTACAGGTTGCTAATTGACAGTGACAGGCATTTTCACTATATAGTGTTACCTTGAGAATATTCATTATACCAATTGTATACTTTTTAAACTTTTCGAAATGACCTTCGACAAGATGATAAACCAATGCATTTAACTGACTATCTGACTAACTTTTATAATGAAACCTTTTATCACTGCTGATTGGAATGTATTAAATAAACAAATATGACGTCATTACAATTGGGCAAAATTTCGACCTTATGTAACATATGTAATTAACTAAGTAATTTCTGAAATTTCATTAGACATTCTCGCGTTACCAATAACAAACGTTTCTTAACGTTGCCACGACAACCAATGCATTTGTTCTAGAATGTTTTACTTGGACATCCAAATCAATATTTAGTCAGGTGGGTATTGTTTTGGTCGGTTAAATGGTCATCCATATATTACAATATTACACATTGTAAACCCATATTGATGTAATTTGACGTTTAACGTTGTTCAAAATCTGTTATATTTAAACACGTATTATAGTGAAAATGTCAATGATATGACTTCCCTTATAGTCGCAAACTCATTTTGTTGCATAACATTACAAAATTTGGAATGTATCGCCAGAAAATCTAACATGGTTCTACATTGCTCAGCAAGCTCCAAAAGTTTTTAAGGTAAAACATGAAAAATAATTAAATTCGGTGGGAGGGGGAGGAGGTTCATTTCTTTATCTTGGTAAGGAAAAAGGGCCCTATTTTTATCTCAAAAATAGGCCCTTTTTGTACTGTAATTGGCGTAATTAATAGAAAATCCCTAATCAGAAGAAAGGAAATTCGTGATTTATTTTCTGTTTTTTTATTCAGTCAAATATAAGGACGGTCGGCCTGGTTTTGTTATAATATGATGTTTAATTTACTGTGTCATCGGATTACAAAATTGAAATGGCAATAAGTCCAGAAATAAGACTTTTTTTTTAAATATCGGTATAGACGAAGAACACAAACAAACAAAAAAATTTATCACGCATGACGAAAATAAGGAAAACGGGTCCAAAATTAAGCGGAAGTGAGTAGTTACGAGCCGGCAGGTATATCCTAAGGACCTTATTCTAACACCTTCAATCAATGAACGGTCTGAAGTGACTCTTAGGACGCGGTGCCCTTTCAAAGCCATTCAGTAAAATGAGAATTATTGAACGTAAATCCCCAGAAAACTTGAGAAGTCACGTTTCGTAAATAAATTTAAAGGAGCCATAAACAGGTGTACTCTTAGACAATGTCATCTACTTCAGGTGTAAACTGTTGAATTCTAGAGGAGATATTTTATTGGGCATTTCGATATTTTTTAACTCTCTTTTCATAAAAAAACGGAAAATTCGTTATTTGAACTAAGAGTTCTCTTTTTAATATCAAAATATATCTGCAAAATCGTACAATATGCAACAACTTTGATAAACGTCATTTTAGTCATCAGTTTTATTTGACCGAAGAAGTGCGTACAGAAAACAACCGATCGCTCGCAAATTCGTGACTAAAGTACTGGATCGCCATAGCGGTTAACGAAGCTTGAAGTGACACTTTTGGGACGCGCGATCAGTGGATAATTGGGAATTTAGAGTAGTATTTGAGGTTTCTGTCACTGCGTTATATTTACCACGTCAGTTTCGTTTGCTACGGCTGCGAGTCACTTCAGTATTTCCGGGATATTACCACACAGGTTTGGGAGGAATCAGGCATTACCATATGGCTTGAATTTCGACGTTTTTCAATTCTAACAGTGTTTTTAGTGAATGTCAACGTGAATAGCGCTGTTTTGGAAAAATGCAGCCAAAAACTAACGGTCGTAGAAAAAGTATAGGTTGCAACATGTTTGGTAAACAAGTCACTTGTTGCATAATATACTATTGAAAAATTTGACTTTTCAGATTTCACGATTTTAACAGGGTTTGAATTCAAATTTCCAGGAATTTTTTCTGTCAATGTGACATATTGATTGAACAATGATGGACACGTCAGTTGCTGCAATTTGTCCGAAAAATACGTATGAGTAGAATTGATAGGTCCTCCTGAACCCTGGTATTTTTAGTGAAAAATGGAAATTATTTTCATTTCCTACATTATACGCAAACTTGGATTTCTACTTATCGAAGCCATTTTTTATAAATGTCAGTTAACATTTGCGAACTCTGTATAATATTTTTAATATTGATATATCACATTAATTAGGATAATCATCCTACTAAAGTTTATGTATGTTCAAACTAGTATATTACAAGTTTGATAAACCCCATTTTAGCCATTAGTTTGTTTTGGTTAGTTGGTTGGTGAGAAGTTTACCAACGTATTGCATATACTATACTAATATGACTACGATCACTAGTTTTTGGGTAAATTTTTCCAAAACGGCAGGAATACATTAACTGAGTGGTTTGGCACGTGACTGACAGAATTGACAATTGCGAAAATACTATGGCTAAAATCTACCGCTCTCTAACTCGTGACTAAAATACGGGAAACTTCCGAAGTGGCTTGCGACCGTGGTTAACGGAGCTGACGTCTTAAAGTGACAATACTAACTAAAACTAAACACCCTGTATAATGAAGAATATACAATTTAAAAACCCTCTTTAAAAACGCAGTGTTAGCGAATGAAATGTAGGTCTATGTTACTTAAAGTTCTGTCTAGTTTTGGTTATACATATGTAGATCTAGTTCTAATTATTGTAAAATATTTTTTTTATAATTTTTATTCTACGGACCATTAAAAAGGGCACAAAAATAGAGTCAAAGTTATTAACCCCAAAACCAAAACCAAAACCAAAAATTAACCTAAAACGCGAAGTTATTTGTTGCTCGTAAATTTTGAACTAGTTCTTATATCAGAATTTGTTTTTAAACTTCGGATAATTTGCGAGAAACGTATTGTCAATAAACAAAAGTATTTTAATTTTTTTTCACTTCATTTGAATAAATTTATTTTTTTTACAGATTACTAGACAGTATGAAAATGACGACGTCTTTAGGCACCCAGAGACAACCCGCCGGGTTCGCTATCAGCGATATTCTAGAGTTGGACAGGCATAACACTCAAAACCCGGAACTAGATCCAACGATGTCGGACAATTCTTTGTACACCACTACCGATTTGTCTTACATTCCCAGGCACTGGCCCCAATTACCCGATCACGGTAAGAAATGGCCGCTGAAAATAAAGCGCCAAATCGTCAAACTCCATGCTAGGAGATCTCACATCTGTCCCGAAACGATCTGCATTAGCAGCTGTTTCTCCATGTCACGCCTTCCTCTATTGATGCTTCTCCCCTTTGCCACGCTATTTATAGGTCATCCCCATGTTCCAGCCCCTTAATAAGGTTTTGAACATTGTGTAATAGTCCCTACTTCGCACCGCAACTATCCCTGTTTGTCTAATTTATGCTTTTGACGCGTTTTAACTGGTAGGTTATATTCTGTAGACCTCTCCTCTCTTTTGACTCAATAGTTATACCGGGTGTTAAAAAAATACCGTGTCAAATTTTCAGGGACGATTTCTTGTGTGATGTTAAGACAAAAATCCATAAATAAATACAAAATGAAAATTTTTTAGTTTTTTAAATTTGGAAATGATGTTAAGGCTAGTAACTAGGGGGTCAACATAACAGTAATACTAAACTACAAAATATTTTTAAACAAAAATCCTTGTGGCTTCCTATAACAATTATTATCAACGATTACAAAACCTGGGACGACCTTTTAGTTTTAAAACACAATGGGTGGGTGAAACATGTTTGTAGCTTATCGGCGGTGTCGTGAATATATATATCGAAATACTTGTACACAGATATTTATTTTTAAATATCGCTTTAGAGATATTGATCAGTTGTGTTGTCTCCGGTGACGTCTTTGACATAGTTTTTTTTAATAAACATTCGTTTCAATTACAACAAATACTATACGAGAAAAATACGCTGTTAACAATATATGCTCCCATTTTATTTTTTGAAATAAAAAAAAAAGTATTTCAGGTACCAATGCAATTAGAAAAACTGACTTGTAACGAGAAAACTTATCCATTTGTTAGTTCACATATCGGGTGATTCACATTAGTTCATATTCATAAAATGGAGAATTTTGTTCACAACTAATATATTGTTCGTCTATTTATTTATCTATATTTTATAACACGCAGCGCTGCCGAATCTATCCGAAATCAATTGCAATATTGACATTTCGAATGGAACCACCAAATACAACTTCCACTTTTACTTTATCTTCTATGGTTTTTCGAAAAAAAAAAAAAATTGCCGCTAAATTATTTTCAAATATTGTATCTGGCCTTACATAGCCTGCAACTATAATCTATCTTCTAGTTGGTATGGAGCTTAAGCTTACAAATGATCGCAGAAAATGCGCTCTTTGCAAAAGTGTATCGAAAAAGTAATGGTCGTAGAAAAAGTACAGTATGCACTCCTTTACGTGCTGTATAAAATACTTGTGTGGTAGTGGTTATAATAACATTTAATGGTTTGACACTAAAACGACCAACCTCAATCGAAGTTTAAACTAGAGTACTTTGAAAATGAACATTTCTGCCGAAAAACGATTTCTGCAACTTAATATTATAAAAAAAATTGTCGATTTGATAAAAATTGTGCATTTTACATATAATGAAAATTTAGGAGTACAATCTACATAAAATAAATAAATAAATAAATAAACGTAAAAAAATTCTCAAATGTTCGTGAACCTACTACATATCATAACCTAACAACTATTGCTGTGATAATAATAAAATTAGTCTTCTTAGTTGTTACAATTTTTTTTTAAATTATCCAGTAAGTTTTTTAAAAAAGTGAAATTCTTATACGTAAAGAATTGTATACTCTTGATGCAAAACATCCTACGGAGCCTTGTAAAACGGTTTTTGGCACGAAGCTAAATTGAAAGTAAATATTCCTTATTGATTGATAATTTTTTATTCTTCTTTTCGGATTAATTTTTCCTTTATAAACATTTTTTGATATTTCCAAACAAAAGAGCTACCGAATATGCAATATTTCTGTTTCTTAAAAAAAATAGAACCATTTCTGCGTATTACTTTATAATATTGAATGGTTTGGCACTAATAATATTACACTATTAATATTAAAAAAATGTAGATTTGTCAAAAATTACGAATTTTACATATAATGAATGTATCTTTATTAACATTTAGCAGTATAATCTACAAATCGAACGTAATTTGGTAAACAAACGCGGAAAAAAATCGTAAAAACTCGTAATTATGCTTGTGGACCTACTAAATGTTATAACCCAACAACTATTGCATTGATAATAACAAAATTAGTCTTCTTCTAATATTCATTACAATTTTCCCTATTTTTAATTATCCAGTAAGTTTTTTCAAAATGTGAATTTTTTGTACGCTTTCTATACTTAGCGTTAAAGAATTGCATTTTTTTGCATTCTTTCCCAAAAATGACTGTACTACGGAGAGATAAAGCAATTTTAGTTCATCTTTTTTTAGAGGTTCTTTAAGATATCTAAATTTATGCAGCAACCTCAAGTATTTTGAAAATTATATATTCAATAATATCGGACAATTCTAATTAATCTATTTAGGTAATTCGCTCTATCGAAATTGATGTTTCTAGTGTGTTGGAACGTTTTCTCTTCATTTTTCGAAGAAACTTCCACAGGTACTGTAATGCTTAGTCGAAATTGCTGACGTTTCGATAATAATCCTGTTGGTTTCTTCAGAGCATGACTGAAACTGCGGAAGAAAGTTTCAGTCAAGCTCTGAAGAAGCCAACAGGATGATTAGCGAAACGTCAGCAATTTCGACTAAGCAAAAACCGACGCAGGAAGAATCCAGCAGTTTTGTAAAAAGCGTTTTCTCTTCATATTTCAGGTCTCCCACCGTTACATCCGTACCATCAGCATCCACCCCCGCCTCATCATCCCCCGCAACTTAGCCCCGACAGCACCAGTCCGCCGATTTCCGACCGCTCTAGCGTCGAGCCGGGTACGTTGCCGGATTCAATGTTGTCCCAGACAAACCAGTTGGGAAGCTCGGCTTCCGTTTCGAACGAGGGCATCAGCGAACCGGAAGGTGAAGACGGCGACAACGAAGAAAGCTCCAAAGACGACGAACAGGTACAACCTTTTCGAATGTTCAATAATTTCAGCTAGTGTTTATAGTTAACAAAGGAGTTGAGAAACATTTTCTCAGATTTAATACTACGCAAATGGTACTTATTAAACCTGACTTAATTTTTGCAGCAAACGGTACCTGGACACAAGAAACGAAAACGTAGGGTGCTGTTCTCTAAAGCACAAACTTACGAATTGGAACGAAGGTTTCGTCAGCAACGTTATTTATCAGCACCAGAACGAGAACACTTAGCGTCCATCATTAGATTAACGCCCACGCAGGTGAAGATATGGTTTCAGAATCACCGGTAAGTTCTGAGACGTTTTGAGTGTTAATTATCGTATTTTATTATTTCAATGGGTCCCGTAGGAACAGGGACTGCTTTTTGCAGCATAAAAACTTGAAAAAATCAGATTGTTGCGTCTAAATTGTAATCTATAAATTGGAATCACTTCAAAATCCAAATCGATATAAGCCTTATATAGAGTTTGAGTAAACAAATGTACGATTTAAAAATGATCGCGTATAGTTACCAAATTTGGTTTTGGGCATATAGGTACATTATTAACGAGATAGAACCGGTTTGCGAAATTGGTTACATGAAAACTCTCAATTGTTTGTAATTATTCCTTATCGTCGGTGCGTGGAGCAAAATGCGATGTTTTAAATTTTATATTCATCATCACGACTAAGCGAGGCTGTCCAAACTGCGGATAATGTGACAAAATCTATCCACGTATGAACTTATTGATCAAACTAAAGCAAAAAGGACTTCTTAAAGAACATTTTACTACACCTATACACTACTCAATACAGGAACTTATGAAGCAACTATAAAAACAATTTTGAGAAGGTTCTTTAACATGCGTATGAGCGAGATTTTAAAATCTTGCTTTGAATAAGTGACCTTGCGGCATTCAACAACCGACAAGGCCGCTGATAAATCGTCAATTAGTTGAGTGCTTTGAAATCGCTGTTTAGAAAGAAAAGTGCACGTTGGTGGGTGAAATGCCCGAGAAATCATTTTTTTCCATGTGAACAACTCTGCCGAACAGACTTCCGGGTTTCATCTGGGCATAGATTAGTAAACGCGTGGTTAACAAACTTTAATGATTCGTCCTTACAGGCTTACAGTACGTTAGCTCGTTTGACCTTGAAAATGATATAATCGGTTATCAAATTTTAGACACCCTATGATGCGATGAATCAATTTTCAATGGAGAATTTGAAAGTATTTCTCTCTTGTTTTAGTTTATTCTAAAGCGTTTATCACCGATACAAACAGTAACAATTAAAAAAATCAAGATATCTGAGGAACAGTTGAAAATAGATGGGACGCCTAATAAAAAACTGAGAAACAGTTGGAAATAAATAGGAAACCTAAACTCATCACAAAATTTCCTCAGAAATCCAAAAATAAATTAATATATATTTACAATAATGACATTGATGGCGACTTGCGGTGTCATCGGAACTGGTTTGACTTTTAAAATATTTTAAAAATGAAAGGAAATCTGAAATGACCCTAGGTCCCAGAATTTCCAACTTCTAACGAACCGCTACGGCGAAAAACCCTGTATATCATTATGTCATTTTATTTTTTTATAGATAGATTGTGATATTTGGCAACATGATTGTTGCTTCAATTTCATTAATATTCGCAATATAATCTAATTCTAATTTCTTTTTATTTTATTGGTGTCATATTTATGCACTTAATTGGGCAAGTGTATTTTTGCACAATAATATGTCAATAAAGTATCCTCAACTTTTTGTTGATATCTGTGCTATTTTATTATTGCTTATTCATTTTTTTAAATACATACAGCAAAGCAAAGCAAATTTTCTTGTTAAGAGTAATATGTTGGAATGGAATTATTTATGCATTTATTAAGTGTATTACACGGATTCTGTCGGTCTCTATTTGGGTTCAATAGGTCTTGGAATATCGTCCATTTGCTGAAATTACTCGAGAAGTGGCTCGCGACAATGGTTAACGAAGTGGATGTCTTAAACCAACCCTTTCCTTGCGCCTGAACAGTGCATGGTTTAAAATTACTGACAGTATTGGTAAAATCGATCATGTGAAAGTACCTTAAGAGACCGCCTCACTTTAGGTGACTTGTTACTCTACTAATGCAATATTATTTAAAATGTAATAAAATTGAATCCCTTAAAAATACGCACGGCTGTCGATTATTATCATTCGGTTTTCGTTGTAACAATGATTTGCGAGCAATTGACTTAGTACGCATTTCCTTGTTGCAGATATAAAACCAAAAGGGCGCAACACGAAAAAGGGATGCACGATCAACAAAACAACAACCCCCTTCCGTCCCCGCGAAGGGTGGCCGTTCCGGTATTGGTAAGGGACGGCAAACCTTGTATGGGAGGCGCTTCGAAACCTCAAGACGGTGTGCAGGTACCGCCGGGTCATATGGGACCACTTCTAGGCTCCCACCCACCTCCGCACTCGATTCTCTTTAGTCAACCGCGGGTGTGGTGGTCGTAAATGTCGAAAAAATGTTTTTTAATTAGCGGTTCTCTTTTAAACGAATTGTTGTCGGTTAAGTCGTTGTTGTTATTTGGTTGCCATAAAAAGACGCTGTTCATCTTGTAACTGTGTGGCTGAATGTCTATTCCGAGGTGGGCTTTGTTCATAATTAATCGCGACCTGGAAATATATATTTCTGCTTATATTGATTTATTTTGTTTTCTCTAATTGATTTTCTTATTTGCAACACCGGCTATACTCGATAATATTTGCCTACAGCTCAATATTGATCGAAGCTCTCTGGATACCGGATAAAAAAAACCTCTTTCCGTATCAAGGAAAACGTAGAATAATATGTCGAATATTCCAATTTTTCTCCATATTTGTAGTGATCACTCATTTGGTATCACGTAATATTCGTAATCGTCATCGAAAAATTGTTGCTATGGTCTTGTTTTTAATTGCTTCAAGCGCGGTTTATCGAAATTTCTATTTAAAAATTCTAACGATAAGATTAATATTTTGATTTGGAAAAATCAAAATTGGGCATCTCTTTTATTTGCTCGGGACAAATATCGACGTCAACATGCGTCATTTTAAATGAGATAATCAAATTGTTTTCAATGTTTTTGTTTTTTCCCGTCTTGCACTGGAAAAACGAGGAAATTAAATAATATTGGTAGACTAATCACATTTTTAGGCAAATGGCGTCATCGACGGAACGTTAATATTTTTTCTACAATTCTTTTTTTTTAATTGTGGCAATGAATTTTCTTCGTAGAGGAAGCACGTAGATTAAAAAAAAATCAGTACGTTTTAAGTACTTTGAAGATTTTTGATAAGCCAAAGCTGTACCCGACATAACACGATTGACGTCATGCGCTGATAGCCACGTGCCTAAAAATTCTAGCCCGTTGTTCGGCGACAAGAATGTTTTCGCATTCGTCTTGTTTCTAGTCATAATGTAATTTTTCGCAAATCTGTACTTCTGCGGTTCTCTATAGGTTGTATGTGTAAATACTTTTTAAATGTAAAAAATGTACATGTATAGTGTAAATAGAGATTTATTAACAGGGTACTTAATTTAATTCTTTTTCGTTTTATTTGCGGTATTTGTTGTACATTTACGTTTTTCAAAAAGATACAATCCAAAAATGTCGCCTTCGTTTTTCGACCCTTGAAGATCGTTTCCTTTCCATAGATGTACCTAGTAAGTTTTCGTGTTCATTAGATCCAGGACTCTTTATAAAGTAAAATGTTATCGAACTTTTATGTTTGCGTAGCATTATGTTTATTATTTATTGGTGGTGCATAATAAATTTATGTAGCTAGTGAAACCTGGTTTTATTATTTATTGCTAATGCAGCTCCATATCCCGGCTAGTTAGATGCGAGTTGGTTTATCAAAAATTATTATACGCTGCGCAACAAGCTAGTGAAATATTTATTTTCAGTCCTTGTTAATGAGGTGAGTTTTATTTGTTTCAAGTTCATTGAATTGTGAGTGGCTCAAGTTTCATAACATCTAAATTTTAAACAGCCCATTAAAAATAATAAAATATGTAACAATTTTGATGAAGATTTAAGAAATTTATCAATTTGTTGCCTACTACACTTTTTATAGTACCGTTAGTTTTGTTCGTCACGTCACATGTCACTGAGTGACAATCAGAACTCACAAACGTCAAAATGCCATGGCTAAAATCTACCGAAAACCCGATCACCCCCAAACCCGTGACCAAAGTACCGGAAACGTCCACAGTGGGTCGCCACAGTAGTTAAAGTGACATTTTGCGCACGTTCCATCAGTGCACAATTAGGTATTCAAGAGTAGGGAAAGGAAAAAAGTGTGAATGTGTGAAAAAGTTTTGACAAAAAGAGGGGTTCAAATATAGTGTAGACAGAGAATTTCGGTTTCTTCTAGAACTTAAGTCGCCGATTGCTTTCAGGGTCGGCTGTTATAAATAATTGGTTAAATATTCTAGTAATCAAGTTGTGATGTATATCTGGTCGATAAGACAATGCTTGTAGATGTTTTATCACACACAAAGTGATGATGTAAATTTCTTGAATCCTTTTTGGAATTTAGTATCCGACGGATTACAGGTAACGATTTTTTCTTTGCAAATTATAAAGAGAAAAGCGTCGAAAGGCGTAGAAGTAAATACAAATGTGGATTTCTTGTAATACTAAATATCCGATACGGGATGTTGTATAGAAAATTGAAGAGCAAATTCTATATATCTAAAAATTTGAAAAAAAGTTTCTAGAAAAATGAGTTCTTATGATTTATATTATTATTGACACGCGTTGAGATATTGATATGGGTTTTGGTGCACCCAATTATTTTAACCAAAGGTCGCGTTAACATTTGCAGAAACCACGACATCCTGACGGACTTTTTTAATAAATTTTTAAAAATATGTCGCACAGCATAACAGCTATAAAATACAACTACGTGATATTTATTTCAGTTTTTTAAAATAAAAAGATATTGCAGAAAGACGAAAACGTGTGTTTCGAAGATAAATTATATCGATCGAAATAAACGGATTGAAACATTCCGCAGCGAGCGCTTTTAATTGCGGTGTTGGTTTCGGTTTGACACAGCCATTACCGGCTTTTATCCTGCGGTACGGTGTTTTCCTGCTCGGCTACGCTTTTCCTGCCGCGGGATCGATGGTCACGCCCATCCGTTTTCCATCAATTGCATCAATTGTGTGTGTGTATTATTCGTTTAGACGGTACACACGATTCGGTGTAGTCGCGTGCTAAAACCAGTAAATCAGTTTTCGTTTCAAAGGACGTAGTGAAATTGTTTTTGTACGTTGTGTCCGCTACTTGGTTCCTCTAAATATAGAAAAATAAAGATGAACCGAACAATTTTCGAAAGAATATCAATGACACTGTTATCTTACGGTTTACGATAAAGGAGTTCTTAAAAATATATCAAAGTTTACAATTATTTTGAACGATTTCCAAAATTCTCCAAGTTCTTCCAAGTTTCTTCAATAATTTTAAGAAAAGCGTGTTTTCTGACGAAATTTGTTGTTTTACTTTTTTTTTAATCTACTAGTTTTCAATTTCGATTTTTCTTTTTTAATTTTTCATTAAAGAATTATAACGCTTAAACTAAGCAAAAATGTAAAAGGAAACAAAATAAAAGCTAAAACATATATTTCTTATTAAAAAAAAAATGGTACTGATTTCTAAAATACAAAAATTTTTGCATGAAACGAAGAACGTGCAACGTGAAAATGTGCGTTTTGTGATAAAATTCCTTTAAGAAAACGCGATGTTTTTTTAGAAATTTTGGAATACTTTACGGTTTCTCGGCTTTCTCTCCTGTTTTACATGAATGTTAATTTTGAAAGACAATTAATAACTACTTCAACGAACCCGACTATCCTTTTCAAAATAATTAACTAATCCATCGATGATGAATTGACGCGGATTACCCACTAACGAAAATAAATAAGCGACAAGTGACTGGAACAATACAAATCAACGTGCACGTCGACATTTCTAAATAAAAAAATCGCGCGCCATCTTGGATCTAAATGGCGAAACGTGTTTTATCAAGATTTAAAAAAAAAACGATGAAATGAAGAATCAATAAAAGTGATTAGTTATATTGTGTATAGAACAGGTAATTGATAAAGAAAGCAAATAACGATAACACACATTAATATTATGCTACATCACAAAACTTTTAATGTATTATCTGATTTATCGATACCTTCGAAACTTTTGTGTGATAGCATGTATTCCGACGCCACGGGTTTCGTTCATTTTACGTCGCTTTTTAAAAAAACTAACTAGTTACGTGACAATGCTACAGAACAATTAAAACAATTGAAAAACCAAAAATCCGGAATTCGTTTGTCGGTTTAACGTTTGAACAACTCATACAAAGAAATGGCTTCAGGACTCGAAATTTTACATATGTTTATTAGGAGCAACCAATACGCTACGAAACTGAAGTCACACAATTGATTTCGGTCAAATTTTGATTTACAAAATACTTGAGAACGCTAAGAGGCTTTTCGTTTCATGATTTGGACAACCAAATGACGATGTCAGCTTGACTTGACCAGCCCGATTTGACCTCTATTATCCAGTTCCGCGTAACAGAATCTCAGCAATAAAACAAATCCGTGACGGTGGATTAAGTGAAGAGTATAATATACTTGAATATCGAGTACTTAATAGAAAAAATACTCCACGTAAGAGGGCTCCCATCAACATTATTGGGATATATAGAGATGCACTTGATGTGGCACTAGTCCTTGGTGCATCCGTAGTCGTTGAAATTATTTATTGCCACTTACCGCTATTGACTCTGATTAACTTAGATTTGTATTAATACAGTAGCACCCTGGTGTTGGGATCCTCATATCTGATAAACTTATCGAATTTTATTGCTTTTTTCGGGACAGCAATAACATCAATTCGTGAAATGCGACTATCCGATTTGGTTATAATTATTGTTTTTATCGGGTTCGCCAACTGAATTTAAATTTATTATCCCCGTAAAGAATTTTAGGCCCTTAGATACAATATTTGTCTGAAAAGCGTGCTTAACTTTATTTTGCAAATTTTTCAAATTTAGTATTTTTTTTATTTTATACCGAAGGAGAAAGAATTATTTGTGATTCTTTTAAAAGAAATCTAACAAAAAAAATGCTTTTTTAAATATATATTATTAGAAAGAAGTGTCTTATATAAAAGTTTGAGAAAAATTTAATTCCTTGTTTAAAGTAGCGGGTAGTTTGTTATGTAATTGTGTGGGTGAAAAACAAACAAACGAAAAAACAAAAATAAAATATTACGGAAGAATAACTATCATAAAAAACACTCTCGGTATTTATTTTTTTTTTAGAATGTGTGGAGGACCCTTATCATTCTTCTTTACTAAATTTAAAGAAAAACTTATTGATGGAAACGTTTTTGTCTCTTGCAATTTTTTCATAAAACTTATTTTAGAAAAATCATTTAGTCGGGTGCTGTCAAATAGTTGTATTTTGTACCAATATTTATCAATAATCCTCTAAACAATTGCATTTTAAAAATCACCTAAATTAGTCGTATTTTGTATTTAAATTAACTGAACAATGTCAAATAAAGTAATGGGACAAGAAGCGCCTTAAAAAGTGCCTAGTGCCTTAAAAGTGACTAGTTCTAAAAGCCTGAGAATAAATAGTAAACTTAAAATAAAATAAATAAATAATCACTTAAGAACTATCTTACAATTGTCAAATGAGGAGTGCACGGTGCATGGCGATATCAATCGAAATAGTATCAGAATAATTAGTAAAAAATTCGTCATCTTCTGGCTGTAGATATATCTTGAATCTTCATTAATTCTCAAGAGTGTTTTTTGTTCTGGTTCTAGAAACAATAAATCACATTGAATTTAGCTAAATATCTGATGTTTTTTACCTACTAAAGCATCATTGGATTCCGCTGCTGCAATGATGTTACAAGTTTAGCGTAGAGTTTTTTCTTGCTTAGTTTTCATTCTATAAAATGTGCCATTAGATTGCATTAAAGAAATGGAAAAATAAAACAGGGAAGCACGTCTATACTTACCCTAAAACCTTTGCTCCATTTATTCATAATCCGCGGAAATAATATTAGGCTACCACTATCTGTCCTTTCAACTCGACTTGGTCCACGGTCGTCAAATGATGAATGGACTGTGCAACGTCATGTCCAGGCCATTTAGCCCCAACTCGTCCTTATCGACGAGATAGGATTGAATTCGTACGTCCAGGATAAAACGCGTGAGGCCACCATGGGATATATTTATGATTCCCGCTCGTTTTAAGCGAGCAAAGGCCTATATTTCAAACGCCGCATGTGTTTAGTGGAATGAGAATATGTTTTCCGATATACGTTTAGGGTGAGGGTGGTCGGACCGTTGACATTTACACGTGTTGGATCAGACGATGAGTGCGATAATATGGCCCAATAAGTGTAGGCAAACGAGAACATCAAATTTGATAAAAAAAAAATCGAACTGAAAAAGTGGAAGCAAACGTAAATGTCTGTCTTCCGAATTCACTATACTTGGTTGAAAGTGATGCATTTTAGACAGAAAGAAGGGTGACTATTGGAAAAGTTAAAATAAATAGGAAGAATTTAACATAGGTGTGTTACAAACTTAATAAAAGTTGCAGATTTTTGTGCCATTTAAGAGAAACCAATATTCGTTTACTTTCAACGCCCTGTAGCATCTAATCCAAATTCTGTTGCATATTCGGATAACGCTAGAATTAAATAATGGGGCTATGGTAATTTTTTTGCAATTGTGAAAACTTAGAAAAATTTAAAAATAGGTTGTTCAAAAAAATATACTTTTACTCTTTCGTTGACTCACCCTGTACAGTTACATTTAACACCACACTAGTGTTAATTGGCTAGAATACCATACTGATGCTGATAATTATGACTCCGCTTCTTAAATTTTTATTAGCTTAGTAAAGGCGATTGACAGTGTCAACTTTGAACATTTCTTGCCAAGTTTTCAAGGAATTGGTAAATAAGTTAATTACTAAAAATTAATAATTATACGTATTTTAATATTAACAAGATATTTTATATTGGTAAACATTTTTGAAAGTACCCTCTCACGCTAATCACACTGATAGATTGAAAAAGACTTCAACAAAGTTTCCTCGAGAAGTAAATTTTACAAGCCCACAAGAAAAGGAAAAATTGGAAATGGTTAAACATTGTGATCGATAAAAGTAATACGTCATAGATTCTTAGAACTACACAAACAAACTGAAACAAAAGAACAAACAAAATAATTTTTTCAATGCATTCTGTAAATTTGAAATATTGGAACAATTTACTCAAAAGACGCTGCAGGCACGTAGATAATTATGCACACGTATCTTAGATAACAAAATTGAAAATAAGTTATCGATATATTAAATCTGCAGTACATCCATTTTATTTGCAGATAAATCAATTACAGCTTATGATAATCAATTTTGAAACAAAATTGGGTTTATAAATGTATCAAATTTAAGCACACGAGATAAGAAAAAACAGCTACCTTAAAGCAGCGAAGATTTCAATTTTAAACTGTTTACCGGATTACCGTTATTAAAATATCTACGGATTTTTTTTTTTGAACAGTGAAGGGACAAAAATAGCAGTAGGCAAAAAATGTTTTAGGGGGTAGCTTGAAAAAATTGTATTTACACCAACGATAATAATGACATTTGCTAAGAAAGGAATACCTTGGATTATCTGGAGCTTATCGTGAACCATATGGCTAAAGTAAATTCTCCTTTTCAAATATCTTACGCGTTTCTTTTTTATATAAATATTGTCGACTGAAATGCGAAGGTATAAACATCGACGTGTGAAAAGCTTTTATGCGCACCTAATAAGGTTATTTATGTTGTACCGCACCACAAAAGCCTGAAATTATGCGTCGCACAAAAGGCTTCTTTGTGTACCGCGGCTCATGGTGCCAAATAGAACTGTCCAAAGTAATCAATCGATCTCTCTACATATTTATACATATTTATCTATGTTATTACATAGAAAACTTTGGTGAAAAAAATTTTTCTTAAGATGAATCCAAGTTGCAAGGTCCAGTTTGTAGGTTATTCCTTAGGACTACCAAAAATCTAAATGGCATTCTGGCTAATCCTATCTCTCTTCGCAAGAATGATCATAGCGAAGCAGAGAAAAATCAATCTTTTTAAGGCAGCATTGAAGGTATTGGAAGCGGCTGAATGCTCTATTAAAACCGTAAAAAGTAGCAAAGAGCCACCTAACTTTGAAGAGGAATGAAATGCTAAAAGGTCTAGAGCGAAGAAACGCCAGCTATAGGATTACTCTGTGTGCATTCGCTTGTGGCAAGCGCAGACGCTGTCTGATAACAGTTACCATTGCTTATATTTAACAGGCTGACGAACGCAAATTACTGGAAAACGGTGTCAATTTATTTACTACTCCAACAAAAAGTAATGTATAAATTGCTCCAATACACTTGCAAGTGGGTTTGATCGAGATTCAAGAAAACTCGATCACTAAAATTTAAATTTGAAGACGTGGCTTAGCTTAGCTTAGGAAATTCGCAAGAAGATTGATTTGTGCGTCGATGATTGGAACTGGAACTTGATATCGCTCCAGGACTTCATACAAAGGTTGGCCTCGAGCTAAATGATTTTTAGGAATCTTGTATATCAAACTATTTTGAGAATGGGAACGAACCATCAAATTTGTTTGTCGATTGGTTCTGCGCATGTGCACCAAACAAATATATTTCTTGACAAAACAAAAAAAAGGGGTGAACCTTTACTAACCAGTGTACATACTTAAATACAACCAACAATAAAAATTTGTCGGCTTCACTTATTTCCTGAACATTAAAGTGCATCACAACGAAGGAGACCCATTGAGGAAGCTTGACGTGGGTGGTAACGGTATTCGCTTATTGACGCATACAAACGGCATATCGAAAAATGCAAACGATAACAATAGAGCGATACAAACGACGTAAATAGTTTCAAGTAGAATCGAGACCCATTCTTCAACTTCCTGCCAATTTTAACGTTGCCGAAAGATAAGGAGGCGTGTTGCCGCAGAAATCGTTACGAGTGTTTGTTTGGGGACTTTTAATTTATTTTGATAAACATTCAATGGGATGACAAAATCGAATGCGTTCGAGAGAATTCGATACAAAGGAATAAACTAACACCGATCGGTTACAGTGGGTGGGGATGATATTGTGCCACTAGGTGCTCGTATGCCAAGCCAAAACCACTTCGTTGTAAATCATTCGAGGATACTAATCATTCTTTTCTTTTGTATATCCAAGCCTGAACGGTATTGTGCCGATATCTAAATTTGTTGTCCAATGAAGGTCCTTCTTGAAAATTTTTAGAAAATGTAAACTCATTGATTTTCGACAACTAAAACACAACCAAAAATGAAATTCAAAAGTTGATGTTAACACTGACTAAATATTTAATCTATAAATATTTTAAATTTGACAATTAACATTGACATTAAAACTCATCAAACGTAAAAATGGAAAAGATCTTAAGGAACCTTTAGAAATAGGCCCATGACTCACCGGACATTTGTAGAAAGATTTTTAACACCAGCTTATTTGCATTATTTGCATCCCAAGTTGTTATACGATTATAAATAATAACTTCTGGGTTAATTTTTCTTCAGTTCCAACTGTTTTAATTTTGTATAAAGTATTCGCGTCTCTGCGTAGCTGAAATAAAACGTCTACATCTTTAAGCACCGAAATTAGTAACTTTGCTCCCACTTAATTATCGTATCTCATAAGTTACGAAATCCCAATGTATAGATAAATAAATATAAAACGCAATATGAAAAATATAAATTTCCAATTAATTATGAGAGGTTAAGTACATCTCGAAAGGCTTTAAAAATTTAAACGGTGCAGGATATTTCAGTAACATTTTGGAGTATCTCAGCATAATGTACAGAGTTCATACCATACCATACCATTCCAAATCTACTAACTAACCCAAAACTAACCTTGTAATAAGTAAAGCAAAATAGATGCGAATATTATACCAAGAATCTGTCATTGCAAGCAGTAGTCGAAAATAGAAAATTCATGATATATATTGACAGTCGCAAATAAATTTTAATTCGTGTAGAGAATTATAAAGACGTTAATTGTTACCAATATTGTGGAAGCAACAATAGATCGAGTAAACGAGCAAAGAAAAAAGTCTCGAATTATTTTATTTTTCCGTTTCCGTCGTTCATTCCGGCTTAATCTCCATCCGGTGCAGAGTTTTTGGGGGCGTGAAATCGACCAGCAGGACGTCTACAAGTTCGTTTGTTAGTTTTATTGCTTCAGAAAATAGAGGGTCAGTCTGTGCGTGTGTGGACGTTATACAAAAGAATAAATCGGAACGATGATCCCAAAGAACGTATTTTTTACGTTACATTGACCGATTCGGAACGAGGAGACCGACATCCATCAGGAAATTATTTTAGTTTCACATAAAAAGATCCACCCGCATTCAGCAGCGGGGTAATTCGGGGACGAAGATGCTTGCAACTAAAAAAAAATAGTAATACATTGGGAAAACGTTTCAATCAACTTTCACGACGTTAGTATTAACGGAACCTTAAAAAAATATTAAATATAAAAAAAAGTCTATCTTCTAAGGACGGAGACAATAATAAATTTGTATTGCTGCATCTGAATTAGTCTCCCAGGTTGCTAAGCCAGGATATCTTTCATCTTCCAGCGCAAGTTTTGGTCCTGATTAAAGCTGATAAGTTGAATCAATACAAATCGCTTACCTCTTGCAATGTGAACTTGCATTATTGTCTATATCTATACGCTCTTTTTGAATATCAAAAAGCATTTTTCGGGTTGCCTTTTCTATGAATAAAAAAATGTAATATAATATAATACGTTTTTCTGGCTAAGAAAATAGTGTTACTTTTTAAAAATGTATTTGTATATCAAATTACTGGCGAAAGAAAAAACTAAACATAAACAGGGTATTATTTCTGGAAATATGTTTATATTAACACTAAAGTTTATTGTAGACTCCTCCTAAAATATGTGCTGCCAATTTACTTACATTCAGTAAAGATCGATTGTTTTATTTTAGCACCTTTTAGCCATTGGGAAGTGCTGCTACTATGTCAGAGCGGTCGTTTGCGGGGCAGATGAGCGATTATACAAAAAAGCAGCGGGCGGCTGATTGTATCTCGTACACTGCTATTACAAATTGACGCGTGAAAGGGAAGGAAGAACCATCTGCATCGATCGAACGTAGTTACTCGGACGATGTCCACGAGCCTGTATTTGATAGATTGAAAAAACGCGATGTGACTTAAGGCATATCAAAACTGGCCAACTAGCTTTTTAAAATTTTGCTGCAAATACTTGTGAGGACTAAAAATCATCATTTTCAAGGAAGTAAAAACAGAAGAGAAATAAAATGAAAACCACCAGCTCTCGAATAAATAGTATTGGATGAAAATTTTTCTCCTCGGCTTTTAAACGAATTTCATAAAGTGTGACCCATATAATGGGTGAATTTGGAATGTGGTTCAAAAATTTGAGCAAATTGGATCTGTAACTAACCTCAAAGTCCCTCGACGTGCTCGTGCAGGTCGGTCAGATCAAAATATTGCCATTGTTCGCGAAAGTGTAGCCGAAAATCCAAACACATCGATTCGTCATCGATCGCAGCAAGTGGGCGTTACCTATTCAACCGCACAGCGAATTTTGACAAAAAACTTGCATCTACAGCCATATAAAGTCCAAATAACTCAGGAGTTGAAACCTCGAGATCATCAACAGCGCCGCGTGTTTGCAAAATGGATCCGAGAACAAGGGGTTCATTTTTCAACGAAAATCATCTTTAGCGATGAGGCGCATTTTCACGTTGGTGGTAAACACAATGCTCGTATTTGGGGATTAGAAAATCCAAGAGAGTTTGTTGCAATGCATCCTCAAAAAGTGACTGCGCATTTTGGTGCGGACGAATAATTCGAGAATAATGCGGAGAACGCTGCTACGGTTAATGGTGTTCGCTATCGAAACATGATATCTGATTTTTTCTGGGAGCAGTTGGAAGGTATGGACATTGAAGATTTGTGGTTCCAATAGGATGGAGCGACTTGTCACACATCCAGAGAAACGATGCAATTG